GCCAATGTCTGAAAATATCCCACTGTCAACTACAAATAATGCAAAGATCACATCAGTGTTTCATGATGATGTCGGGTGACTGCATCGCAACGGCGAAATATCAGGGCGGAGTCATAACGCTTGTTGACTGCATCGCAATGGCAGAATAACAGCATGAAGCCACAACGCTGGGTAACTGCATTGCAACGGCGGAATAACTGTGCGGAGTCATAACGCTGGGTGATTGCATCGCAATGGCAGAATACAGTGTGGAATCATAATGCTGGGCAACTGCATCGCAACGGTGGAATAACAGCTTAGAGTCATAACACCCAATGTGTGAAAATATCCTACTGTCAACCACAAATAAGGCTAAGAGTGCAACAGTGTTTCATGATGATGTTGGGTGACTGCATCGCAATGGCAGAATAACAGTGCAAAGTCATAACACTGGGCGACTGCTTTGTAATGTTAGAATAACAGTGCAGAGTCATAGCGCTGGGCAACTGCATCGCAACAGTAGAATAACAGCGAGGAGTCATAACACCCAATGTGTGAAAATATCCCACTGTCAACCACAAATAAGGCTAAGAGCGCAACATTGTTTCATGATGGTGTTGGGCAACTGCATCACAACGGCAGAATAACAGCGCAGTCATAATGCTGGGTGAATGAATCGCAACAGCGGAATAACAGCGAGGAGTCATAACGCCCAATGTGTGAAAATATCCCACTGTCAACCACAAATAATACTAAGAGTGGAACAGTGTTTCATGATGAGGTTGGGTGACTGCATCGTAACAGCGGAATAATAACGCTGAGTCATAATGCTGGGTCACTGCATTTCAATGGCAAAATAACAGTGCAGAGTCATTACACTGGACAACTGCATTGCAACGGCTAAATAACAGCTCAGAATCATAACGCCCAATGTGTGAAAATATCCTGCTGTTAACCACAAGTAAGGTTATAAGTGCAACATTGTGGCGCAATCATACTGGGTGAATGTATTGTAATGGGGAAATAACAGCACAGAGTTATAATGCTCAGTGTGTTGAACTAGGGAGATTTCTAGCATGGCTTCCGTTCATTTCAAGGAAGGGAAATACAAACAACCCCTTCGGTTTCCGTCCCAGACCGTAAAAGCAAGAAAAGTGATCTCTCCCTCTCTCCAGAATGGATTTTCAATCCAACGTCCCTAAGGGAAGACTCAGCCTCTGACAACTTTCCCTTCTTGTTTTTGCACATTTTGCCAACTCTTTTCCCAGCTCCTGGAAACTTATCTGGAGATGTTTCGTCCTTAATGTTGTAAGCAACGCCATTCATTTTATATTCTCCTAAGAGGCAGAGGAGCCTTGTTGGGGGGAATAAGTTGGCGACCCAGAGGCAGAAGGCCACACTGCCACGTGGCTCGTTCTCTTTTACGAGGCATTTGACCTTCAAGGTTTGGGGAAAAGGTGGGGACATTCAACCCATTAACACCTCACTTGGAAAAATAAAATGTGGAAACTATCGCCCGCATGTTATTTTCTTTGAAATCAGACCATTCCTAGCGTTTCCCTTTGAAAACAGAGGGACCTTTAGGGTTGGCTGGTCTGAACGTATGGGCGCTGGTGGCCACCTCTTCCAGGGTCTGCAAACAGCACTCTTCCTTCTCCTCCTCCTCCATCATCCGGGACAAGAGCCGCTTGTCCCTGTTCTTTCCACTCAGCAGCTTTGGGGCAACAAGAAGCCCTTTCATACATATTGCAAATAGGGATTCGAAAGATGTCAAGAGACTTCTTTTGATGTAGGGGTTTTCCAAATTAAAAATCCCTAAACCGCTTTCCCAGATCTTAATGCCTTGTGGCAACGTGGGAGGCCCATCCGTCGACCCACTGGGGAAAAACTCACTCCCATAATATCCCAACCGGCATCCCACTCCCCTTTGATCGTTCCCTTTTTGTTTGTGTGCCTTCAAATCCTATCAAATTTAATCCCCATTGCATTATACAAATACAGCTCTATTCTTGCCTCTAAGTCCATTCATTACATAATGATGATAGGAATATGTTTTCTAAGTATCTGTCCCCACTCTTCCTAAACCGTTTGATGCTCTGAGTTCGCCTTTACTTTGACTTACAAAAGTAATAAATGACTTTGATGTATTATCAAACAGATCTCCTTTTACTAATGTTAATCTGTAGGCTAACTTTTCTGATAGGGCTATATTTACTGACAGATTCTCTAGTTTGCTCAGAGGCCTGCGATGCATAACAGGAGCGATGTACGATTGTTAGTTACGCCAAATCCTTACTTTCAAATAACAGGGATCATTACTAGAAGTATGCTGTTTCCTCCTCGCCTTTTCCAATAGGCCTGTATTTACTGATAGATTCATTTGGTTTGTCCAGAGACCTGAGGCACATACCAAGAACAATGTACAATTATTAGTTAGCAGATCCTTACTTTCTAATAAGCAGAATTGATAATTGCTTTATCGTGTCAGAAGCAAATTGAGAATACAGTTATAATGTATAAAAACCCACAAACAAAGTTAAAAACTTTGCGTCTTCTGTGCGCCCAGGAGGGAGTTTCTTATCCGGTCTCAGCCACTAATTGAGGCTCCAGGTTTTCCTCTGCTACTTTTGAACTCTCACTTGCTGGGGTGTTCCTGCAAGTATTTCTCTAGATCTTAGGAAGTTATTTCTTGATTTAAGGTGTTGATGTGTTGGCTGATATCCAAACAGACGAAGAGCCAGAGATGTCAATGACTTAGTCCTTTCACTGCTGGCTGCTATTTCCCGACGGATGTCAGGTGGTGCAGGACCGGCTAAACAGTAAAATTTCTCCAGCGGTGTTGGGCATAAACATCCTGTGATAATGTGGCATGTCTCATTAAGAGCCACATCCACTGTTTTAATGTGGTGAGATGTATTCCACACTGGGCATGCGTATTCGGCAGCAGAGTAGCAAAGCGCAAGGGGAGATGTCTTCACTGTGTCTGGTTGCTCCAGTGGGATTCCTTCTCAAGTAATCCTCAGAGCTCAAGATGCTTGTCTGTTCTTAAGATGAAAAGCACACATCTGCGTTTTAGATGGATGAGGAATCAGCTGGTTTTCCCTGTAATAGGCAGTAAGAGCACCTAACACTTTGGAGAGCTTCTGTTCAGCCATTTCAAAGCTCCCTGCTTGAACAGTGATGGCACGATCATCAGCATAGATGAAACTCTCTGTCTCTTCTGGCAGTGGCTGATCATTTATGTAAATGTTAAACATTGATGGAGCAAGCACACTCCCCTGAGGCAGGCCATTCTTCTGTCTTTGCCATCTGCTTCTCTTTCCCTGGAACAAAAAAGCTCCTGTCTTGTCAAAGGCTTTCATGGCTGGGATCACTGGGTTGTTGTAGGTTTTTTGGGCTATATGGCCATGTTCTAGAAGCATTATCTCCTGCTTCTAGAACATGGCCATACAGCCTGAAAAACCTACAAGCCAAAAAAGCTCCTGTTTTGTAGCAGATTTCCTATGAAGCAGGTGAGGTGGTAGTCAGGTTCAACACTTGTGATGTGGAGCTTTTGCCTTTCCTGAAGCCAGCTTGCTGTGGGAATTTATTTCTTCAATAATTCTGTGAAGGATAATTCTCCCCAGATCTTTATAAAGATGGCGCAACAAGGAGATTGGTCTACAGCTTTTTGGATCATTACGGTCTTTGCCTGGTTTCACAGTGGCTATGACTCTTGTTTTCCTCCAGATTTTAGGGATCTGACAGGATGCAGTGCAGTTGTTTATCAGTTTCGGCAGACAGCATCTTGCTTTTGGGCCAACGTTCTTAATTTGTTTGTCCGTAGAGAGCCAATTCTAATTTGGTAGATGTAAAAGGTTCATGAAGGTTGTTCTCATTATCTGGTTGTCTGACTATTGGTTTCCTTCCTAGACTGGTGGCAAGGCTGAGTTTCCCATTCTTCGATATTGATAATAGAAATGTACTGTTTCCTTCCCCTATTATTTGGCTTCTCCGTGACAGAACCTCATGTAAGAATATTTGTACTTTTTGGGAAGGATGTGTTATAGAAAGGGCTTCCCTTGAGGTTGAGAGAGTGTGACTTTGGCTGAGAGGAGTTTCTAACCCTGCTCTCCAGAGCCATGGTTCAGAGGATGTTGTTGGAGAATGCAAGGAATCAGTGAATGTGTGTGTGTCAACTGTAAAATAAGATGCATGAAGCTGAATGGTCAGGTAATGACCAGGGAGATGGCTGTACCTGGGACTTTTGGATACTGTTACTTTTTTGTTCAGGCTTGAGCTATGCAGGTGCAGAGAGACAGGAAGAGAGAAGCAGAGAGAGACACAGAGTTAGGAGTGTACTCTCACTTCATGAGCTGCTGAATGAGTTTATCCAAATGGACAAAGAAAGACTGTTTTAAAACTCTCATAAAAGGACATTATGTGCGTTGATGCAACTGATCGCATTGTACATATGTTGTTCTGAACTATGAAGAGTAAGCTACTTGTTCTTTATTGTTCATCTGCGTTGCATATTTTCTTTCTCTGGCAAGGCAGTGTGTGGGCTGATCAAACGTGCACTACATGTGGTTTATTTTACATTATGCCACAGACATTTGGGACAATCTGGATTAATTCTTTGCCGTTCCCAGTTTCCCGGCTGCTTTTAAAAAGTCCCGATTTAATCCATCCTTCCCCTTTTGTCCTCAGCTGACCTCCATTGCTACATTACCAAAGTTCAATAAAACTGGGGCTCTGTTCGAAGGCCTTTAGCAAACTCTTTGCCCCAATGGAAGAAGGGCAAAAAAACGAGGGAAATAAAAAAAGAAGATTTCACCGCGGAGGAATGCAAAGGCAAGGCCCGAGGTTTAAGCCTGGCCGATCTCCCAAATGAAAGAAACACATTTTGGAGCCCCCGAAAGCGAGCCGAAGCCGCCTTCCCAATGATGTCCTCATGCTGTTTATTTTTACAACTTTAATTTCTCGCTCTCTCTCTTTTCCTGCCAAAACCTTGGGGCCGGCCCCTGACGTCTCCCCGAGAGAATAAAAGCTTCAGAGGCAGGAATGTGCCAGGAGCCGCAGAAGGCGAACGGGGCGGAGCGGAGGCAGGGCCCTCAGGTTAGCAGTTCCTCCAACTTTGGAGATATATATATATATATATATATATATATATATATTTGGGGAAGGTTTAAAAGGTAGGTGGCTCCGCACATCCTCAACGTCCCAGAATGACCGCCTTCCCACGCCTGGTGCTTCTGCTCAGCCTCTGGCGTTGCGCCGCCAGCCAGATGCCCGGCGGGAGAGGTAAGCGAGAGCCTGGAAAGAACACATTGGCCTTTCCATTTGGGAAAGGATTCAGTTTATGCTTTTATCAATACCTGCTTGAACACACAATCTTCTCCAATGACAACTTGCCAATTTCTCCATTCTTGGGTAGGATATCAATCATCTATCTACCTGCCTACCCATCCTTCCGTCTATCATATTGATCGATCAATCAGTCGATCCATTTCTATCATCTAACATATCTATCTATTCATCCATCCTTCTATCATCTGTTATATCAGTGGTTCCCAACCTTTTTTTTGACCAGGGACCACTTTCCAATATTAGTACCAAAAGGGTTACGAATCAGTTTTTGGACAACTTTAGATTTGGTTGGGTTATTTGGGGTGCTGATTAAGAAACCTGTATTAGATAGACCACATCAGTTCTAGTTTCTGATACAGAACAGATGCTATCCAGTAGTCACCATCTGCTCACCCACAGAAAACCATATTTAATAAGCCTCGGCACTATAAGAGGATTTTGCGAGACCAGTCGCTCTCCTTTCAACAGTGTAGTAACGGTGAGGTCACAGACCATATTTTAATGCTTGCAAACCACTGGTGGTCCATGGACCACAAGTTGGGAACCACTGTCCTATATCAATCTGTTCATCCATGCTTCTGTCATCTATCCTACCTACCTACCTACCTACCTATATCTCTCTCTATCTCTCTCTCTATCCCTCCCTCCATCCATCACATCTATCTATTCATCCTTCTGTCATATATTATATCAATCTATTCATCTATGCTTCTGTCACCTATCCTAGATAGATCTATAGCTATCTATTCATCCATCCATCTAGAATCTATTATATCAATCTATTCATCCATGCTTGTAATCTATCTATCTATCTATCTATCTATCTATCTATCTATCTATCTATCTATCTATCTATCTATCATATCTATGTATTCATCCTTCTATCATCTATTATATCAATGTATTCATCCATGCTTCTGTCATCTAATCTATATGTCTATATATCTATCATATCTAGTCACCCACCCGTCTATCAACAATCATTAAATTAATCTATCTATTCATCCACCCTTCTATCATCGATTCTATCTTATCTGTCCATCTTTCTTTCTTTCTTTCTTTCTTTCTTTCTTTCTTTCTTTCTTTCTTTCTTTCTTCCTTCCTTCCTTCCTTCCTATCCATTCATCCATCCATCCATCCATCCATCCATCCATCGGATCTGTTTATTCATCCACCCATTAATTCTTCTATCATCTATCAATCTATTCATCCATTGTATAAATCATATCATCCATCACATCATATCTATCATCACTGGGATCTATCTATCCATCTCTCTATCATCAATCAATTAATCCATCCTTCTATCATCTATCATATCTATCTATCCACCAATTTTTCTATCATCTGTTATATATTCTTCCATCTCTCTATCTATCATCTTTTCTCTATCCATCTCTCTATCATATCTATCAATCTATTCATTCATCATATGCATTGTATTGTATAACCATGTCATATCTATCATCACTGGGATCGATCTATCTGTCTATCTGTCTGTCTGTCTATCTGTCTGTCTGTCTGTCTGTCTGTCTATCTATCCATCCATCCATCTATCCATCTATCCATCCATCCAAAACTTGAGCCAGAAAATTAGCTGTGTCCTTCAAGCCAAGTTGGCTCCAAAGGGGTTTGTGTTGGCTTTCTTCTGAAGCTGAGAGAGTGTGACTGGCCCAAGTAGGCTTCATGGCTGAGCCACGATTTGATGTTAACATGATGTTAAAGATCTTGTACCTTGAAGGTGTTGTTCGCAGCAAGCACAGACTTGTCAGAGGGATTTCTGGGCCATTTCTCTCGCAAGAGCCTGAGGATAAATGTGATATAATGGGAACATGTTGAATAATGAATCGCATTTGACACACCGGTTCCCCTTGACCTCTCCAACAATATTTCCTTGTATTTCAAAGGGGATCCTTTCAGCTTGGAAAGGATTCCTGGGGACTGAAAACCAGGGAAATATGACTGATGGGAGTTGGAGTTATTATTATTATTATCACCACCACCATCATTAGCCTGGGTCCCTAGCATTGCCCAGGTTATGTGAAAAAGTCAATTTTTTTAAATTGTACACAATGCGTAAGGTTGTGAGTGAACTACAACTCATATCATGACAGGTTAACCCTGTCAGTACTTGAAGTTTGTTATGTTGGGCAATTGGGTCAGGACTGGGGTCAGACTAGATGGCAACTGGGGATCCCTTAAAAACTCTATAGTGTTTTTATTTGAGATCCAGTTCCCCTTTTGTTGCAGGAGGAGACCTTTCACCCCAAATGCTGTCAGAGATGAGAGAGACGAACCAAGTGCTGCGGGAAATCACAGAGTTGCTGAAGCAGCAGGTAAGAAAAGCCCCTTTCTCCCCGAAAGCGACAAATAAAAGAATGTTCTCCGATGGCCATAAGCCTCATTTCAATGTACATGGAATTGTTAGATACTGTCTGACCCCATTGCGAACCCCCATATTATTATTATTATTATTATTATTATTATTATTATTATCTTAATACTGGCATCTAGTGTTGGCTAATATTAGTACAGTTAGAAGCCATTAGGAGAAATGGGTAACAAATAAAAATCATCATTATTATTATTATTAATCAGTAAAACAGTAAATCTGTGTTACACAGAATTAAGTTTGCCTTTGTCCAATTTGGTATTTCAATAAAATTAGAGGCGGCCCTAGGTAATTTTCAATGTAAGCAAACAGTATTTTGGCGCCCCCCCCCCCCCCCCAACCAATCACTGATATATATTTTCTATTCATTGTGGGAGTTCTGTGTGCCATATTTGGTTCCATCATTGATGGAGTTCAGAATGCTCTTTGATTGTAGGTGAACTATACATCCCAGTAACTACAACTCGAATATGTCAAGGTCTATTTTCCCCCAAGAGCGCCTCAAGAGCGCCCCTGGGCAAAATCAACTATACTGCAAATGCTTACTTTGCATAATGGGTTGAGCCACCCCTGAATACAATCCACCCACCCATCGATCTATAAACCTGTCTATCTGTTTATCAAACTATTCATCCATCTATCCATCCACCCATTGACCCACTAATCTATCTATGTATTCATCCATCCATCCATCTTAAAAGTTTGGTCTGGATGGCCTTTGGGGTCTCTTCCAACTCTAGAATCATCTGTCTGTCTGTCTGTCTGTCTATCCACCCACCCGTCCTCCCACCCACTCATCCAAAAGGGTTGGTCTGGATGGCCTTTGGGGTATCTTCCAACTCTAGGAACATCGATCATCTATCTATCTATCTATCTATCTATCTATCTATCTATCTATCTATCTATCTATCTAATCTATTCATCCATCCATCTTAAAAGGTTGGTCTGGATGGCCTTTGGGATCTCCTCCAACTCTAGTCATCTATCTATCTATCTATCTATCTATCTATCTATCTATCTATCTATCCATCCATCCATCCATCCATCTATCCATCCATCCATCCATCCATCCACCCACCCACCCACCCACCCACCCATTCTCCCACCCACTCATCCAAAAGGGTTGGTCTGGATGGCTTTTGGGGTATCTTCCAACTCTAGGATCATCTATCTATCAATCTATCCACCCACCCATCTTAAAATGTTGGTCTAGATGGTGTTTGGGATCTCTTCCAACTCTAGGATCATCTATTCATCCATCCATCCATCTAAAAGGGTTGGTATGGATGGCCTTTGGGATCTCCTCCAACTCTAGAGTCATCTATCTATCTATCTATCTATCTATCTATCTATCTATTCATCCACCCACCCATCCACCCATCCATCCATCCATCCATCCATCCATCCATCCATCCATCCATCCATCCAAAAGAGTTAGTCTGGATGGCCTTTGAAGTATCTTCCAACTCTAGGATCATCTATCCATCGATCCACCGATCCAGCAATCCAGCCATCTAAAAGGGTTGGTATGGATGGTCTTTGGGGTATATTCTAACTGTAGAATCATCTATCTATCTATCTAGCCATCCATCCATCTATCTTAGCCATCTCCATGGGTGCTATGGATTAACTGAGAGTTTATTGTCTGTCCGTCCATCTATAATATATATAAATAGCTAGCAATTAATTTGTGGAAACCCTAGTGCTCTGTTGTGCCACAAAGGTGACCAAACTGAGCCTCCACCTCCAGTGGCAGTCTACCTTTGAATGCTACACACTGCAACGGAGGAGAGAGGGAGGGGACTTCTGGCTGGTTCTTGGGCTTTGGCTTTGGCTGGCCTGCTCTTGCCCATGTTGCGGTCATTTGGGGATCTCTCCTGGGTCCGGGGGCGGTTTTGGGCCCCACTCCAGCCGTCTTCTTGTGCAAGGCGCCACATTCCTCCGTCTCCTTTCTCCTCTTTCCGCCCCTGACTGGATCGCTGCCCCTTCCTTGCCAGCTCAAGTGCAAAAGCAGAGGGAAAAGCAAAGGGTGCCAGGACAAATGCCTGGAATGGGGACTGTTCTTACCTTCCAATGTTTTTTTCCTGGCAACAGGGTTTCCTCTGGATTTTGGGATGGATGAGTCCAAAGTGCTGGACTGAAAGCAAAAAGAAAAGGCTTAGTTAGAGGCAAGGGTTGGTTTGGAATCATTGGATTGGGACCTCCGAAGGTCATATACACCAACCCTATTTGGCTAGGCTGGGAATGTAGGATCTCAAGCATTGGAAAGGACCTCAAGGGCCGCCCGATTCAACCTCACTCTACCATATAGGAATGGTAGGATCTTAAGAGCTGGATGGGACCCTAAAGGTCATATACATAGTCCAACCCCAATTGGCCATACAAGGACTGAAGGACCTTTATAGCGTTAGTAGGGACCTCAAGGGTCAGTCATGTAGTCCAATCTCATTCTGCGATGTAGGAATTGCAAGACTCTTCTCTCTAATCTTGGGGAACGGGCATGGAAAGACAACCTTCCTGCCCTCTCTGCTCCAAAGTAAACACAGCCCAGCGGTTTGGGTTTTCCATCCTTCGGACCTTCTTCCCTTGGAAACAATCCAGAGGTGGCTTGGCCTGACCCACCTCCTGAAAAACCCTTGGGAGGAAAAGCAGGAGCTAATTAATAAATCCTTGTCCACTCCTGTTTCCCAAGCAAATAAACATCGCCCACTGACTCCTAGCTGCGCCCTTCCTTTTCTTCCCTCCTTCTCTCTCCCCGACAAATCCTTTTTATATGTTGTTTTCCCCCTCTGATGAAAGAAGGCCTCACAAACCTTCATTCTTCAACGTTCCCTCAATCTGCCATATGATTTAGGGCAACAGAGGCCACACTGAGTGGCTTCACAACAAGAAATACCCCAAACTCAGCCTCACAAAAACTTGGCAATTGTGTAATTCTGTAACACATCAGTATTCTTGTTTTTACCCCTCTTCCTTCTTTTTCTCACCCTTCCTTCCTTTTCCTTCCTCAGCTCTGAGAAGACTTACTTTTTCCCTTCTTCAGCTCTAAGGAGGCTTAGTTTCCCCCTTCTCCAGCTCTGAGAATTCCAGTTTTCTCTCTTCTCCAGCTATGAAGAGGTCTGCTTTCTCCCTTCCCCAGCTCTGAGGCCTGCTTTTTCCTGTTTCTAAGTCTGAGGCCTACTTTCTCCCTTCTCCAGCTCTGAGACCTCCTTTCTTCCTTCTCCAGTTCTGAGAAAACTTCCTTTCTCCCTTCTCCAGCTCTGATAAGGCCTACTTTCTTTCTTCTCCAGCTCTGAGGCCTGCTTCCTCCCTTCTCCAGCTCTAAAAGAGCCTGTTTTCTCCCTTCTCCAATTCTGAGAAGGCCTGTTTTCTTCCTTCTCCAGCTGTAATGTCTGCTTCCTTCCTTCTCCAGGTCTGAGGCATCCTTTCTCCCTTCTCCAGCTTTGAGAAAGCCTCCTTTCTCCCTCTCTCTAGCTTCGTGGCCTCCTTTCTCCCTTTTCCAGCTCTCAGACGATCTGCTGTGTCCCTTCTCCACTCTGGGAATTCCTGCTTTCTCCTTCTCCATCTCTGAGGCCTGCTTTCCCTTCTTCAGTTCTGAAAGAGTCTGCTTTCTCTCTTCTCCAGCTCTGAGGCCTGCTCTCACCTTTCTCCAACTTTGAAAGAGTCTGATTTCTTTCTTCTCCAGCTCTGAGGAGGCCTACTTTCCCCCTTCTCTAGCTTTGGTCTTTGGTGCAATTAACCTTTCCTCTTTTTCCATCCATAGATAAAGGAGATCACCTTCTTGAAAAACACGGTCATGGAATGTGATGCTTGCGGTAAGTCCACAGAGCCATATCCGAGTGATTTTGAGTGGTGATGGGGGGGGGGGGGGGGGGGGGGGTCAACTGGGGAGATATTGCAAAACACTGGGAATCCAGCATCAGTCCGAGGCATATGCCCTGGAAGAAAGACCCTCTCTCCTTCTGCTTTGTTTCTTGCAGGCATTATTACGGTGCCAAGTTCAAACTTTCTTATTAATTCCCATTCATGCCTAATCTGATGTTATCCTGGCTCCTTTGACACCCTTTTCAAAATGTGATGGGTGGAAGTCAAAGAGGCCATCTGCTGGGAGGGTTTTGATGATGGTGTCTTCTCGCCTGAGAGAAATGGGGTTGGACTGGAGAACCCCGGGAGGGGTCTTTCCCAACTCTATAACGCACTGCTTCTATGAAACAGTGACTTATGAAAACAGCCAGATGTGGAAAACAATGCCTTATTGTCATTCCTGATGGGTTTAAATTCCTCGCACTTTTTCATACGAGGCGGGATAGAGATGCCCTTAGGAAAATGAGATTTCTTTCCCTCCTTTTGCCTCTCAGGTGCATCCAACCAAGTGTGGCTAACACAACCAAAGGTGCGGCTTGCAATTGCCCAGCAATGCATAGCAGGGTGTTTGCAAGATATTTCCACCCGAATGGTGCAGAATAGGAGGGGGAAACTGAGTCGCTCTGACTCCTGGTTAACCCTCTACCTACCTACCCACGCTTCTTCCTAATGTTTGTGGAAATGAGAGTTGTGGATATTTGGTTAGTAAATTACTACTACATTACCTTGGGTACCTGGCACTGCCCGGGCTATTTGAAAAAGTCAATATGTTAATTGTACAAAATGCGTAAGGTTGTAGGTGAACTACAACTCACGTCATGCCCTGAGAAACTCCATTGGTACTTAAAAGTTTATTATGTTGGGCAAGTTGTCTCATCGGTGGGGTTGAGTGTGCTCTCTGGCTGTAGGGCGAACTACAACTCCCACTATGGTGGGTCAGTCCCCTCAAACCCCTCCAGTAGGTTGAGTTAGTCATGGGGGTTCTGTTTGCCAAGTTTGGTCCAGGTACATCATCAGAGGAGGTCACAGTGTCTCTGGTTGTGGGTGAACTACAATTCCCAGAAAGGAAAGTCAGTTCCCCCGCAACCCCTCCAGTAATCAAATTTCGGCATATCAGGTCTGTGTGCTAAATTTGGTGCAGATCCATTGTTGTTTGTGTTCATAGTGCTCTCTGATCTAGGTGAACTATAATTCCTATAAATCAAGATGAATTTCCCTCAAACCCCTCCAGTGGTTCTGTGTGCCAAGTGAGGTCCGGGGCCATCATTGGTGGGGTCCAGAGTGGTCTTTGATTGCAGCTGAACTATAAATCCCGGTACCTACAATGGCTATAAATCAATATGATTTCCCCCTAAACCTCTCAATATTTTGCTTTGGTCATGCAGATATAGTCACTGATGGACTTTGCTACTCAAATGTTAATTAAAGCTTTCAATAGTCACACTTGCTTTAAACAGTCAAGGGTTCTTTCTCCCACCCTGGCAATATGTATAGATATAGATATTCCACTTGCCTCAGCACCAACAGAACCTCAGAAAATACCAGCAATCGATGCAGGTGAAATATTAGGAGAGAATGCTGCTGGAATATGGCCATACAGCCCGGAAAACTCACAGCAACCCACTGATTCAGGTTTCAAAGACTTTCATTTGGGAGAAGGGGGGGAGGAGAAAGGAGAGAAGAGTGGCGCTCCAGACACCTCCATTTTCATTCTTAAACTGCTTTTGGAGAAAGAAAGAAAGAAAGAAAGAAAGAAAGAAAGAAAGAAAGAAAGAAAGAAAGGAGGAGGAGGAGAGAAGAGTGGAGCTTCAAAGACCTCCATTTGGGCAAAGGAAGGGAGGAGGAAAGAGAGAAGAGTGGAACTCCAGATACCTCCATTTTACAGTTCTTAAACTGTCTTTGGGGAAAGAAAGAAAGAAAGAAAGAAAGAAAGAAAGAAAGAAAGAAAGAAAAGAAAAGTGGAGCTTCAGAGGCCTCCATTTTATAGTTCTTAAACTGCCTTTGGGGAAAGAAGAAAGAGGGAGAGAGAAGAGTGGTACTTCAGAGGCCTTCATTTGGGAGAAGGAAGGGAAGAGAAAGGAGAGAAGAGTGGAGCTCCAGATACCTCCATTTTATAGTGCTTAAAACTGCCTTTGGAGAAAGAAAGGAAGGAAGGAAAGGAAGGAAGAGGAAAGAAAGAAAGAAAGGAAAGAAAGAAAGAAAGGGGGAGAGAGGTAGGAGAGAAGAGTGGAGAAGGGCGGAGAGAAAAGTGGAGCTCCAGATACCTCCGTTTTATAGTTCTTAAACTGCCTTTGGAGAGAGAGAAGAAAGAAAGAAAGAAAGAAAGAAAGAAAGAAAGAAAGAAAGAAAGAAAGGGGGAGAGAGGGAGGAGAGAAGAGTGGAGAAGGGCGGAGAGAAAAGTGGAGCTCCAGATACCTCCGTTTTATAGTTCTTAAACTGCTTTTGGAGAAAGGAAGGAAGGAAGGAAGGAAGGAAGGAAGGAAGGAAGGAAGGAAGGAAGGAAGGAAGGAGGGAGGAGGGGGAAGGAAGGAAGGAAGGAAGGAAGGAAGGAAGGAAGGAAGGAAGGAAGGAAGAGTGGAGGGGAAGGATGGAAGGAGAAAGAGGGAGGGAAAGAGAGAAAGAAGAGGAAGAGAAGGAAGGAGAGAAGGAAGGGAAGAGGAAGGAAGGAAGGAAGGAAGGAAGAGGGAGAGAGGGAGAAGAGTGGAGAATGGCGGGGAGAAAAGTGGATCTCCAAATACCTCCGTTTTATAGTTCTTAAACTGCTTTTGGAGAAAGGAAAACCTTGAAAGCCTTCGACAATATATTGCTGTATAAATCTAAAAATTAATTTCCATTTGTTAGTAAATTAATATTGTGTAGCCTGCGTCTTTGCTTTCAGTATGCCATAAGCCGCCTTGGGCCCTATGTCAGGAGAAATGTGAAAACAAGGAATATGGAGGGTGCGCGCTCTCACGTTTATTTCTCTCTCCGTTTCTCTTCTCAAGGGATGAACACGGGAGCGACAGGGCACCCCATCAGCCTGGCCCCACTAAGCCGCTGTTACCCCAACCCGTGCTTCCCCGGGGTCACTTGCACCGACACCCCCACCGGCTTCCGCTGCGGCACCTGTCCCCAAGGTTACACTGGCAATGGGACTCACTGCACTGACATCAATGAGGTCAGTGGGACCGGGTCCATGGGCTGCCAACCCTCATTTGTTGTCATAACAGAAAATGTGCTTCCTTTCTTTCATATCCCCCAAACCAAGGTTCCGCTGCTTGGGAGCCGCTCTTCTGCAAGCCCTATGTGTCTACGCAACAGTTGTTCTGCGCAACAGTCACACAGCCTTGCACTTTATCCCATGCCCAGGCCCGTAGCCAGGATTTCATTTCGGGCGGGGGGGGGGGGCTGAATTTTTTCCAGGGGGGGTCGGGGGGGGGGGGGGGGGGCTGAGTCTGAGTGAAAGAGGGTCTACCTTAGCAAACCTTTTGTATCATTACCCCAATACCCCCATGCATATGGGATATATTGAGTATGGTGATCAGATCATGATATGAATAAACATAACAGTTTAAATAATGCACCAGTAAGGCCTTTTCACGAACCACCATGAGAATTTCGGGGGGGGGGGGGGTGAAGCCCAAGACCTCCATTTGGGAGAAGAAAGGGAAGAGAAAGGAGAGAAGAGTGGAGCTCCAGATACCTCCGTTTTATAGTTCTTAAACCGCCTTTGGAGAAAGAAAGGAAGGAAGGAGGAAGGAAGGATAGCTGAAGGAAGGAGAGAAGAAGGCAAGGAAGGAAGGACAGCGAAGGAAGAAAGCAGCAGAAAGAGGTAGAGAGGGAGTATGTTGTTGTTCGAGACTAGTGAAGAATGGCGCGGGAGCAAGAGATGCCCTTGCCCATGCCATCTCCCATCTGTTACAAGCTTCCTCTCCTAGGATCTATGCATTCCTCGTCCCTATTTTTTTCCGTTTACAGTCTCACGCCATGTTTTTACAGCAATGCTTACCACCATTAGGTTGATGGGCCACAGTTTTAATATGTCTTGATGTATTGTCATTGCTGTTTTGCTTAATTGTGTTTGATTTTATTTGCTTTGTTATTGCTATGTTATGTTTTCTATTATATTGTGTTTGTGGCTTCGGCCTGTGTAAGCCGCATCGAGTCCTTCGGGAGATGCTCGCGGGGTACAAATAAAGTTAATAATAATAATAATAATAATAATAATAATAATATGTTTTGTTATTAGATACCTTGTGCCATGTGTAAGCCACCCCGAGTCCCTTTGGGGAGAAGATGGCAGGGTACAATAATAAAGTAGTAGTAGTAGTTATTGTTATTATTATTCTAGCCATCCCCTGCCATGCGTTGCTGTGGCCCAGTCTGGTGATCTAGAAAATAAAGTAATGAGAAAGTGTTGGTGTCTAATATATGTAATTTCTTTATGCTTGTGGGTAAACAGTTCATGGGGTTCAGAATGCTCTGTGTTTGTAGATGAACTGTAAATCCCAGTAACTACAACTCCCAAATGTCAAGGTTTATTTCCCCTAAACTCTATCTGTGTTCATATTTGGGCATATTGAGTATTCCTGTAGAGTTTGGTCCAGATCCATCATTGTTTGAGTCCACAGTGCTCTCTGGATGTAGGTGAACTACAACTCCAAAACCAAAGGACACTGCCCACCAAACCCTTCCAGCATTTTCTGTTGGTCATGGGAGAACTGTGTGCCAAGTTTGGTTCAATTCCATCGTTGGTGGGGTTCAGAATGCTCTTTGATTGTAGGTGAACTATAAATCCCAGCAACTACAACTCCCAAATGACAAAATCATAATTTTTTGAGTGATGATCACTCCTTGTGAAGTGAGATGTTTTGTTGCCAAATTTGGTGTGATTTCGTTCATTGGTTCTTTTGTTTTTAAGGTACTCATTATGCACAGAGCATTTATATATATATCGATTTCTGGCTTGTAGCTCTGTCCTTTTTGCCACTGAGATCACCTGTCACAGTTTAGATGTTAGATAGAAATGGCAAAGCATTTCTAATAATAGAGAAAATACTGTTTGATGAACATGTGGAAGATTGATACACCTGGATATGACTGTGAATGTCATGATGCAGTACTTGAGGGGGTGTCGTAATGGCTGAGTCATAACTATGTGAGGGTTATCGCAAACGGGTTGCATCAGCCAGTGCCCCTTACTGATGACCTATCAGCAGTGGGGTGGCTATATAAGGAGGATGGAAGAATCCATCTTGCTTTCTCCTGTGTGACTCAGTGTGAGTATCTGCCTGTGTTGTATGTGATTATCGGATGACTGTTTGCAAGTATTAGGATCTGCGAGTCCTGATTGTATATTTGTCTAAATTGTAATGGTGAAGATTAAAGCCTCTGGATATTTTGGATAACCTGAATCCTTGAGTCTACAAAACAGTGTCAGGTGCTTGCAGTTGGACTCTATTGATTAGACGGGTTGAAGTATGTGTTTGCTGTGAAAGGACTTTGCTGTATTTTTGCTTGCTTCTGGGATACTTGCTATACAGCAGTTCTGGAGGTTGTGATTTGGAAACTATAACTTCACATACCAGCATCCTGCAACATTAGAGGCACATGGTGTTTTGTCTTTGTGCTCTCGTTCAACAAGGCTTTCTTTCGTTCTTTTCTTTCCTTGTAGTGTACAGCCAATCCCTGCTTCCCCAGGGTCCAGTGCATCAACACAGCCCCTGGTTTCCGGTGTGAACGATGCCCAGCCGGATATACGGGGCCAGTCCACGAAGGAGTGGGCTTAGCCTTCGCCAGGGCCAACAAACAGGTAAAGGAGTTTTCGGGAAAGGGGTCCTCTCCATTCATTCATTTTTTTTAATTATTATTATTATTATTATTATTATTATTATTATTATTATTTTGTCGTGTCAGGAGTGATTTGAGAAACTGCAAGTTGCTTCTGGTGTGAGAGAATTGGCCGTCTGCAAGGACGTTGCCCAGGGGACACCCGGATGATTTTGATGTTTTTATCATCCTTGTGGGAGGCTTCTCTCACGTCCCCGCATGAGGAGCTGGAGCTGATAGAGGGAGCTCATCCGCCTCTCCCCGGATTCGAACCTACAACCTGTCGGTCTTTAGTCCTGCCGGCACAGGGGTTTAACCCACTGCGCCACCGGGGGCTCCTCCATTCATTCATGACAGAATGACTCCTTTTATTGCAGTTCACTTTGCAATAACCTTGGAAAGGCAGTGAATCCCACATTGTGTTAAGTGAGAAAATCTATTTAGTTGTATCTTGCCTTTCTTGCAAGAACAGATGGGCCCTCCCCATTTAAATATCTTAACAACTCTGTGAGCTAAGCAAAGCTGGCAGAGAGAAACAATAGTCCTATATGAATAGAAATAAAATCATAAAATAATGTTCCATCTTATTCCAGCGTAACTCACTCCAAACTGCATTGGTTCCATGCCTTGGAATAATAACCTTTCCAAACTTGGCTTGTTGTTTTCCAAGTTCCCCAATTTATGGTGATCCTGCAAATGAAGGAGAGGTGCGATGGTTTCCAAGCTTTAGTCTTTTGGGTCTTTTGGACTCCAACTCCCAGAAACCCAGTCAATCTGTCCAATGGTGAAGGATTCTAGGAGCTGGAGTACAAAACATTTGGAGCACCAGCGTTTGGGGAATATTATGAGATGAGAGATCACTCAAATCCTCAGTGATCGACTGTTTGGGGGTTGAGCAAAAGTTTCAGTGGAAATGTCAGAACCATCTGGACTTGAAGCATCTTTCAAACCCAAATGTGGGTCTCACTGACAGCACACACTTGCCGAACATTGATGGCCATTCTCTCCATCCTCACAAGTTCTTTCCTTCCCTGCAAACAGGTTTGCAATGACATCAATGAATGTGAATCCGGCACTGCCAGGGCTTGCGTCCCGAACTCCATCTGCATCAACACCCGGGTAAATGTCCTGCAGTGGTAGAAGAGCAGTTCTTTCCTACCAAACACCTCACATGCATAGAGCTAGAAAGGGCCATCCAGTACAACCCCCTTTGGCCAGACAGGAAGGCAACACAAAAGCCCTCCTGGAAGATACCCATCCAATACAAAGAAGGATTGCAACCCTCTTTATTGCGGAGTGATTGAAGCGTGCAGCAAATAAATGGTGGAATCAGAGTCAGAAAAGCTCTTTATTTATTTATATTTGTGGCATTTGTATACTACCCTTCTCAACCCCAAAGGGGACTCAGGGCAGTTCACAGTGTTGGCAACAATTCAATGACATTGATAAAAAACAGTATAAAACATCAACATTTACCCTCCCCTGAGAAAACATTAAACACAGCACATAAAATAACATCACATATCTCACAAAGACATATCTAGTCCTGCCCCCTTCAGTAGGCAGGAGGATACAATCAAAGCCCTCCCGAGAGAGGCCCATCCAATCCAAAGAGTTGCAAAGAGGGAGAGTCGCCACTGTTGCTCATTGCTGGGCAATGAACAATCATGGTTGGAAGGGACCCCAAGCACCATCTGGCCCAAACCCCATGGAAGCCCTCTTGAGAGATGCCCATCCAATCCAGAGGGCTACAATTCTGAGTCAGTCCAGATCGTAGTCAATTGATTTTTCCTAATGTTTAGGCAGGATCTCTTTTCTTGGCATTCATATCCATTCGTTCGTGTTCTACTTTCTGGAATGGCAGAGAGCAAACTCCTCAGTCTTCTCCTTGACCATCCTTTATGGCTACTCTTGTTCCGAGTAGGAAGGGACCCCCAAAGGCCATTCAACCCAACCCCTTTCCACAGAATGAGACTTCATTGGGCTTCCAGGCAGCATATAATCACCAGTTGGACAGCTCTTGCAGCTGAACAGACTTGCCGTTCCCGATAGGACTTGGCTTCCAGCCCTTTCTCCACTTGTCTTCTTTCTCAAATATCAAATGTGATGTTTGGGTTCCACACCTTCTCCAAAGGAAGTACAGGGTGGTCGGATGGAAACGGGCCAGCTATTGAGACAGTCCTTGAAATGTCTTCTCAATGGGACCATTATTCACTACTCAGGGATCCTATAAGTGCGGTTCCTGCAAAGCCGGCTTCGTGGGCGACCAGACGAGTGGCTGCCGGAGCAAGGCTGAGCGGCGATGCCCCAACGGGGAGCTCAGCCCTTGCCACGAAAAGGCCGAGTGCTTCGTGGAGCGCGATGGGTCGCTGGTCTGCGTGGTAAGTCTTGGCCGTCTTTTGTCGGATAAGTTATTGTCAGTGCTATCTTAGGAGGAATTAATCAAAACTTTCATTTTCAGCAGCGTGCTTTCCTCTGTGGTCTCTCTGGGTATTTCTAAGTCCTCCAATGCTACACCTGAAATTTCTAGTCACTGCAGAGAACCTAAGTATCATAGAGAACCTTTCTAGGTCCTCCATTGTGATTTCATGACCAGTTTCCTAAAATTATCCTGAAGATTTCTTAGAGCGATGTACTCTCAAGTAAAAAAATAGTGGGCTTTAGTCAAGTTTCCCCCAACTTTTGTTCCACGAAAGTATTGGGTCAACAACATATAGCCTATGCTGTTGAAGCAGGGGCATAGGAATGACTGTTGGAAGAAGGAACCTCCATCTTCCATTCCTTTTATACTTCTTCCTCTTCCCAGTGCATTGTCGGTTGGGCAGGAAACGGCTACATCTGTGGACCGGACACCGACATTGACGGCTTTCCCGATGAAAAGCTCCGCTGCACCGACAAAAAGTGCCGCAAGGTAAGGGGCAGGTGGCAGCTTTGAGAATTATCCCGATTTCTTGCAAAACTGAGGTCCCTCCTTATAGAAAATGTACTTAAGGTTGTACACTCCGGGAGTATTTAGGTCCATCGCATCGGCTTGGGTGGCACACTGCAAGGTGGCTCTGTTCAAACTCAAAATACGGTGTTTAGGTATAATCTTTCTGCTCTGCAGACAACAAAACTGATATCCAACCCTGGTCTTCCTTTGCAGGACAACTGTGTCACCGTTCCAAACTCTGGGCAAGAGGATGCAGACCGGGATGGGATCGGCGATGCTTGTGACGATGACGCCGATGGGGATGGGATCACCAACACCGAGGTTTGGACTCTATTATGCCCACCATTTCCTGAAATTTCCCCAACAAACTGGTGTTTGCCCGGGCCTACTTTCATATACTATACGCAGTAAGGCTCCCGTCACCGCAGAACATGTATCAGTCATTTCACCACGACAAATTGTCTCTTTAGGTCCTCCAGGAAGTCCTATGGTAGGCATCCCTCAGATATGTCTCTAGGTCAGGCATGAGCAAACTTTCTAACTTGGAGGCTTCATGCTAGAATTCCTTGCCAGGAGGACTGGCTGCCCAGTGATGAAAGGGAAGGAGGAGGAAGGATGGAAGGAAGAGTAGAAGGGGAGGAAGGAAGGAAGAATAGAGGGGAAGGGAGGGAGGGAGGAAAAGAGGGAAGGATAGGAGAAAGAGGAAAGGAAGGGAGGGAAGTAACGTGGAAGGAAAGAGAGAAGGAAGGAAAGACAAAAGGGAGGAAAGGGTGAAAGGAAGAATGGAAGGAAGGGAAGGAAGAAGAAAAGAGAGAAGGAAGGATAGGGTGGTGTGAGAGAGGAGAGCCTCAGAAAAGAGCCCAAGGGGCCGCATCTGGCATCCGGACCTGGGTTCGGGCCCCGCCTATCTCTGCAATCGCATCTCCTTCTATGAACCGGCATGAGCTCTAAGATCTTCCAGGGAGGCCCTCCTCTCGGTTCCACTACCGTCTCAAGCGTGGTTGGTGGGGATGAGAGAGGGCCTTCTCAGTGGTGGCCCCCCATCTCTGGAACACCCTTCCAAGGGAAATAAGACAGGCCCCATCCCTCCCCTCCTTTCGTAAGAGCTTGAAGACCCGGTGGTTTCAGCAAGCCTTTGAAAATGACTCAGCCCTACACATTGTCGAATACGGCCTTATTCTTCCTAATTACTCAGATTCTTTCCTCTAATCGGCCCTGGAATGAACAGCCACAGACCCGTACCTAATATTATTGTTGCCTGCCATAGCATTGCACTTAATTCCCGGGCCCCCTGGAATTTTTGGGCTTGCACAAATCTTGGCCCGGCCTTTTAAATTTTTTAATTGCCTTGAACAGGCAGGATTACTTTTAATATATGTGTGTTATGGCGACAAGTTTTTATGTTTATATTTTGTTTGTTAATCTTATGGTTATGTTGTTTTTTACTTTGTATTTTTTTGTGATGTTACCTGGAAACCACACTGAGTCCCCTCGGGGAGATGGAGCAGTATATAAATAAAGTTTTGTTATTATTATTATTTGCTCATACCTGCTCTAGGTCCAACAATGCATCTCTATGGGATGCTGAGACTGGGAGTAGTGCTTGGTTTCAGGGAATTTCTCTCCTCCACGTATTTAATTTGTATATTGATTCATTTATTTAATTTATTAAAATAACATTATCTATGAATAGGAAAACATCAGAATTATACTATCACACTACTCTCCTTATTAAAATATATTTTCAAATTCCAGAGATTGGACAACAAATCCCAGCATTCTCCCAGTGGTCACTATTTTTTTTAAAAACCAGCCTCTCCTCTTTGGGGAAAAAAGCTCAGAAAGGAATTGGTCTCGCTTGAATCCAAACCACATGGATGCTGAAGAAGCCTGGAAGCCATTAATGCAGTGTTTCTCAACCTTCCTAATGCTGCGACTCCTTAATACTGTTCCTCATGTTGTGGTGACCCCCCAATCATAACATTATTTTCGTTACTACTTCATAACTGTAATTTTGCTATTGCTATGAATTGTAATGTAAATGTCTGATATGCAGGATGTATTTTCATTCACTGGACCAAATTGGGCACAAATACCCGATATGCCCAAATTTGAATACTGTTGGGGTTGGAGGATTGATTTTGTCATTTGGGAGTTGAAGTTGCTGGGATTTATAGTTCACCTACAATCAAAGAGCATTCTGAACTCTGCCAGTGATGGAATTGAACCAAACTTGGCACACAGAATTCCCATGGCCAGCAGAAAATACTGGAAGGATTTGGTGGGCATTAACCTTGAGTTCTGGAGTTGTAGTTCACCTACATCCAGAGAGCACTGTGGACTCAAACAATGATAGATCTGGACCAAACTTGGCATGAATACTCAATGTGCCCAAATGTGAACCCTGGTGGAGTTTGGGGAAAATAGACCTTGCCATTTGGGAGTTATAGTTGCTGGGATTTATAGTTCACCTACAATCAAAGGGCATTCTGAACCCCACCGATAAAATTTGGCCAAACTTCCCACACAGAACCCCCATGACTGTGTTTTCTGATGGCACTTGGCAACCCCTTTGACACCCCCTTGTGACCCCCCCAAGGGTTCCGATGTCAAGGTTGTCCAGTCCAGTCCCCTAAGCAATCAAGATAGAGGGATGGATGGATGGGAAGGTAGGTAGATAGATACGTACATAGGTAGGTAGTTAGAAAGGTAGGCAGATATGAGTTGCTGAGATTTATAGTTCACCTACAATCAAAGAGCATTCTGAACCCCACCACTGATAGAATTGGGCCAAACTTCCCACACAGTCCCTTAAAGGGACGGGTTGGTGCGAGCCTCCCTCCAACCTCACACACACTCCCTTACCTGCACATGCGCACCACGCTGCCATGCACCAAGCATGCCTGCTCTCTCCTCCCTGCTTAGAGTCTCATAAACAGCCCTCCTCTTGGCTGAGAAGCTGGCCAATCACAGCGGAGGAGGGCTTTTGGTGGGAGGATTCGCCATGTGTTTCCAAAAAGGACGAAGACAGGCGGAGATATCTTCATCCTTTTCTGCCAAAGGGGTTCCTAAGACCATCAGAAATGTATGTTTTCTGACGGTCTTTGGCGACTCCTCTGAAAACCCCCTTGCGACCCACAGGTTGAGAAATGCTGCACTAATACTTTGAAGGCTTACTTTGATGGGATTGGAGAAAAGAATAATAGAATCAGAAAACACGAGGATCAGATCTATCTAGTTCTAGCTTCATTGTGCTAAATCACTCCCCAAAGATGTGTCATCCAATCTGTTTATAGACCTCCAACGATGGAGATGAGACTGCTCTGCCTCGCAGCCAATTCCCCAATTGATTTGATGTTTTTCCTTTGGATGGACGAGATGCTTGGTTTCGGTCAGCTGTCCAAAATAGTTCTGACTGCTAATCCCTCTCCCTCCAGGACAATTGTGTCTTTGTGCGCAACACCGACCAGCGCAACGCCGACCAGGACAACTTTGGGGATGCCTGTGACAACTGCCGCAACATCAAGAACAATGACCAGAAAGACAGCGACGGAGATGGGCGTGGGGACCTTTGCGACGATGACATGGATGGAGACAGTGAGTGCTGACCCTCTGCTGTGATGGTTAGAAATATCCTGGGAATATAACGTTTGCAGGCCTCATGAGCCGTTCCCACTTATCTCGCAGATACACTGAAGGTGTTCCCCTCTCCATTCTGTCATGCTTCTATTAAAACCATTCCTTCTCCGTTCAGGGCCAGAGGTCCTCATGATGGTTCCTCCACTTATGACTCCATGGTTAACATTCACCAGAAGCTGAACCCACAGTTGCACAATGCAGGAATCAGATTTGTGAATGAATGACAAAAAAGCCTGCATATGTGGAGAGCCAAGTGTCTATTTTTCCGTTCTTCAGCCAAAGTTTGGGGCACAGGTTACAGATGTGAGGAAAGTTAGTGAGAGGCAGAGACTAGTTTGGAGGTAAACAAAGGAGTGATATTAGTGTTTGCAAATTAGGGTCTGTTGGAGTTAGATACATTAGATAAGTAATATGTAATGAGTTGGTGAACAGCACAACCCCACACTTGCGAGGCATACATTCCCAGACATTGAAATATTGGAAAACTCAAGTTCAGACACAGGTTGTTTTTGGGAGGCTCAACCTGGGTACTTTGCGACCCACAGACTGGACTCCAATTCTCTGCGTCCCAAGCTCGCTCACTCATGGGAATTGCAGTGTATGATCTATATGTTGCAAAGGAATTATACGAAAGAACATCTTTCTCTATGGAATGGGGGAACACCATAACAAATGGATAACCGTGGCAATTAAAACGAGTCCAACGGCAGTCAGAGGAGTCTCGCAATGTGGGGAGCTTTTCAGGCAGGATGATTGTGCTGAAACTCTCATTTTTTCCCTCAGAGGTTAAAAATGTGTTGGACAACTGTGTGAGGATTTCCAACCCAGACCAGCGGGACAGTGATGGAGATGGCGTGGGAGACGTTTGCGACAGCTGCCCACTCATCAGCAACCCAGATCAGGTGAGTGGGAAGAGGAAGAGGTGCCCCAAAAGGAAACCGGGTGAGGAGTTGAGAGGAAGAGACCACCAGAGGGATGTGTTATTCCTACCTTCATCTGATGGTGAAAACCTTCGTCCAAGAAAATATGAGCCACAACCCTGCATTGGGAGACAGACATGAATAGTAGAATCAAGAGTTGAAAGGGGACCCCAAGATCTATCTTTGTACCACAAAGGCAGTTGCTAGGTGAAGTGGCCCTCTGTGATTTGGGGGAGGAAAAAAAGAAGGAAGAAAAAGAGAAAGAAGGGAAGAGGGAAATGTAAGGAAAAAGATAAAGAAGGGAAGAGGAAGAAAGGAGTGAAAAGAGAAGGGAAGTGGAAAGAAGGAAGGAAAAGAAGGGAAGAGGGAGGAAGGAATGAAAAGAGAAGGGAAGTGGAAAGAAGGAAGGAAAAGAAAGAACGGAAGAGGAAGGAAGGAAGGATGAAAAGAAAGAAGGGAAGAGGATGGAAGGAAGGAAAAGAGAAAGAAGAGGAAGGTAGGGAGGATGGGGAAGGTGTGTGAAGGAAAGCAGGGATGGAAAAGAGAGAATGAGAAGGTGTATTAGGCAAAGAGGAAGGTAAGAAAAGAGGCACAGAGAGCCTGTTCACCACTGCCAGACATTGTGAGGTAGGCACAGAGCTGGAGAAAGGAGAAAGCAGGCATAAACACTGCCAACACAGGTATATACACTTGTTTCTATCTAAACCAAGTGCCTTCCTGGTTTCTCTCCCTTTGTAGAAAGACACCGACCATGACCTTGTGGGCGACCCCTGTGACACCAACCAAGACCGGTGAGTTGTAGTACCTTTCATTATGTCTGCCTTCTGGGGAAGTTAGGACAGACCTATAAGCCACGGGTTACAATTGCGGGGTCTGTTTCTGCTTCCCCAGTGCCATTCCAGAGTGTGGCCAGATCACGTCATATCTTGGTCTTTCTCCAATAGCGGAGCACAAGAAGGTATCAGTGCTCACTTTCCCTCTTTCTGCCAGGGATGGAGACGGCCACCAGGACTCCCGGGACAATTGCCCCACGGTGCCCAACAGCTCCCAGCTTGATTCGGACCGGGATGGCATTGGTGATGAATGTGATGATGATGACGACAATGACGGCATCCCAGACCAGAGGCCACCGGGCCCCGACAATTGTCGCCTGGTCCCCAACCCCGGGCAGCAGGACTCCGACAGTAAGCATGATTCTATCTCTCTTCCGCAGGTCCCCAAAATGGCAAAATTCAGACTGACCGTCCCTTCCGTCCAAACATTTCTTGCAGGGAAAAAAATATCGGCTCAGTAGACTAGATGTCCCACACTAGTTTCCTTAGTCAAGTTGCCTTGTGGACAGCAATTCCCAGACTGCAATCCCCCAAATTAGTATTTCAAACACTTTTACTACATTACAACACTAGTCACTCATCCTGTTTAGCTCAGAGAAAATTTAAAAGTGATCTGATGGCATCCTGAAACATTCAAAAGGTTGTCATGGCAGAGATGGGGTGGGCATGTTTTCGGCCCTAAAGCAAACCTACCTCTAAGTATAGCTGTGGGTTCCTACAGGGCAAGTAGGTTGGTCTAGATGGCCTTTGTGGTCCCCGTGAGCTGCTGCATGCGAGTGAAGTGGGGAGAATGGTTGGAGAACATGCTTACATTCCCTCTTCTCTCTTGCAGGAGACGGCATCGGAGACGCCTGCACCAACGACTTCGACAAGGACCTCGTTGTTGATCAAATCGATGTCTGTCCTGAAAACGCGGAGGTGACACTGACGGATTTCCGGGCCTTCCAGACTGTCGTCTTGGATCCCGAAGGGGATGCCCAGATTGACCCAAACTGGATTGTCCTCAACCAGGTGGGGGAGTGTTCCTTCCCACATCTTCAATGGAGAGTCCCGAGTCAAACCATAATATCTGTTCCGTTGAGGAGCATTGGAGTTAGTTGGGGCTGATGAGAGTCATAGACTCTCCAAAGATCCCTAATGTTCATGACTTCTGAGCTTTCAAACCTCTCTCATGTATGTGTGTATACACACACACATTTACATCTATATATGTATCTCTCATGTGTATGTGTACTGGGAGTGATCCTGGACTCATCGCTGAGCCTGGAACCCCAGGTCTCGGCGGTGACCAGGGGAGCATTTGCAGTTAAAACTTGTGTGCCAGCTGCGCCCGTACCTTGGGAAGTCTGACTTGGCCATGGTAGTCCACGCTTTGGTTACATCCCGTATAGACTATTGCAATGCACTCTACGTGGGGTTGCCTTTGAAGACTGTTCGAAAGCTCCAAATGGTCCAATGGGCGGTGGCCAGGTTAATACAGGAGAGGTGCCAGGTTAATACAGGAGAATACAACTTCTCTGTTGCGTCAGCTCTGCTGGCTGCCAATCTGCTTCCGGGCACAATTCAAAGTGCTGGCTTTAGCCTATAAAGCCCTAAACGGTTTCGGCCCAACTTACCTATCTGAATGTATCTCTCCTTATGAACCATCTAGGACACTAAGATCTTCTGGGGAGGCCCTGCTCTCGTTCCCACCTTCCTCACAGATGCGTCTGGCGGGGACGAGAGACAGGGCCTTCTCAGCGGTGGCCCCTCCACTGTGGAACAGCCTGCCTAGAGAGATAAGATTGACCCCCTCCCTCCTCACCTTTCGAAGAAAGGTGAAAACCTGAATTTTTGAGCAGGGCTTCCCAAATACGGCAAAGTTATACGATATTATGGACCACTGACGACGCAATGGGACAGTGATTTGATATGGATACGCTTTGATGTTTTTAATGCTTCTTATGGTTTTTATATTTTTATATTGCTGTTAATGTTTTAATAATATTTTATGATTGTTTTAATTGTAACTGTTTTGGCATCGAATTGTTGCCTATTGTTAACTGCTCCGAGTCGCCCCTGGGCTGAGAGGGACGGTATACAAATGTAGTAAATAAATGTGTATTTCTCATGTGTATGTGTGTTTGTGTGTATATATATACACACACATACGTATATACATCTATACATATAGATTCTGTTTTTTCTTCTCTCCAGGGAATGGAAATTGTTCAGACCATGAACAGTGACCCAGGTTTGGCTGTCGGTAGGTAATATTTTGGAGAATTTTGAAAACAAGTTCTTGCTTTCCATTCTATTTTTAAAAAAATCAATGTAAGAGATTTAAAAGTTGTTTTATACACAGTCTCATTCCCCAGCAGCCATTAAGATACAATTGATCATTGGTCAATAAAGCTGGGGTATCCCAGCGGTGAAGGAATCCAAATATGTATTTATTTTGTGCATGGTAAAATAAGGGAAATAATTGTTAGTCTATAGAAAAGCTGTTCTCCCTAAGCTGAGACCATGTAAGGCATGTATAGTTGGTTCTGGTTTAAATTTGCCTGGTTGAGAGTCAAATACGATGACAATTATCGCTAGAATGCAAGCGCAGGGATGTGTGAAAGAAATTGAGGCACCAAAGGCAAAAATCACTACAAAAGGAAGAGAAGTTCAGGTCTCTGCAAACTTTTGGTCCCAACCAGTTTGCCTTCATTCTCTCCCTGGTTAAGGCTACACCGCATTCAACGGGGTGGATTTTGAGGGCACCTTCCACGTCAACACGGCCACCGACGACGATTATGCCGGGTTCATCTTTGGCTACCAGGACAGCTCCAGCTTCTACGTTGTCATGTGGAAACAAATGGAGCAAACCTATTGGCAGGCCAACCCCTTCCGAGCCGTCGCTGAGCCGGGTATTCAGCTAAAGGTAAGATTGGTTGCAAGGGGAGGGAATAACATGCCTATATCCACAGGGTACCCCCAGTGGCACAGTGGGTTAAACTGCTGAGCTGCTGAACTTGCTGACCAAAAGGTTGGTGGTTCAAATTCAGGGAGCGGGATGAGCTCCTGCTGTTAGCTCCAGCTTCTGCCAACCTTGCAGTTCAAAAACATGCAAATGTGAGTAGATCAATAGGTACCGCTCCGGTGGGAAGGTAATGGTGCTCCATGCAGTCATGCTGGCCACATGACCTTGGAGGTGTCTGTGGACAACACTGGCTCTTCGGCTTAGAAATAGAGATGAGCACCAACCCCGAGTCGGACACAAGTGGACTTAATGTCAGAGGAAAACCTTGACCTTTACTATCCAGTCATCTCCACATCATTTCCAAAACTTCTGCCACGTCTGCACTATTACCTCTCATCTTTTCCTTCCAAGTCCCAAACTCCTTTATGTACCTTCTTAACATTCAACTTATAAGGAAGACTCAGAGGTGTTTGGGTTGCTTCTTTCCTCCAAAATAGAGCTGATGATATGGGTTATTCCTTGGTGGCTTCTCATCCAAGTCTGAAACAGGGTTGAGCTTCCAATTTCAGAGTGGGGAAGAATGCCTCTGCCTTAGGATGCTGCTGCTGCTGCTGCTGTTTCTGCGGCTCCAAACTTTAATTTTCCTGCATTTCTGCAGAGCAGGAGGAAAGAGGCGGGAAACAGCATGGCGCCACGGAGCCCCTATCACTGGGACTCTGCGGAACAGTTTGAGAACCCGTCATAGAGGATTGGTGCCTTGAGAGAATTCATGCCCTCCTATATTCTTTATCCTTCCCCTTTCCAAAGCCTTGGGGGCTCAGATTGACCTACAGGTTCAGGCTTAATGTCTCCCTCCACCGGCTTCTCTGACCTCTGTCACCCCATTGTGAGTTGTTCTCTTCTGGCTCTTCAAACCCAGGCGGTGAAATCCAAGACTGGGCCGGGCGAATACCTCCGCAACTCCCTCTGGCACACCGGTGACACCCCCGACCAGGTCAAGCTGCTGTGGAAAGACCCCCGGAACGTGGGCTGGAAGGACAAGACCTCATACCGCTGGTTCTTGCAGCACAGGCCCCAAGTGGGCTACATCCGGTAAGCAGTGGCCGAGAGTGCTCCCAATCCACCTATGAGTGTCATCCCTACAAGTATTTGGGGTAATAAGTGTTCAAGACCCTATTTACTCAAATATAATGCTTACCTTTTATGGCTAAATGACCTGGCCAAAATGAGGGTGCACATTATATTTTTGCCACATGGTCATCTTAGTGCTGAGCCAAAGCAAAAGGGGACGCTGCTTCAGGAACTCATCTTTGAGGGACGTCATTTCTAATTTAATGGCTATGGCTCAAAGCTACTGAGATATGTAGTTTGGTGACGAATCAGCATCCTTTGGCAGTGATAGCTCAAGACTTTGTCAAACTGCAGCCTCCACGATGTCATAGAATTGATCCAAGGCAATTAAGGAGGCTACGATAAAACTGTTGTTGAATAAACCATCACTGGACCCCACTCAACTGAACAACCTTCGACCAGTTTCCAATTTCCCCTTTTTGGGCAAAGTCTTGGGCTGTGTGGTTGCCTTGCAACTTCAGGTGTTCTTGGAGGGAACTGATTATCTAGATCTATTGCAGTTTGGCTTCAGACCAGGTCATGCAAACATGACAGCCTTGGTCTTCTTAATGGATTATTTACACAGGGAACTGGACAGAGAAAGTGTGTCACCGGTGGCTCTTCTGGACCTCTCAGCTCTGGACCTCTGGATCTACAGCTTCAATACTGTAGATCATGCTTTCCTTCTGGGACACCTTGCGGGAATGGGGCTTGGAGGCACTGTCCTACAGTGGCTCCAGTCCTTCCTGGAGGATCGCTTCCAGGTGTTGTTGGGAGACACCTTCTCAGCCTCACGGCTCTTGTCCTGTGGGGTCCCACAGGGTTCAGTATTGTCCCCCATTTTGTTTAACATCTATATGAAGATGCTGGGAGAGATCATCCAGAGATTTGGAGTTCAATGTCATCTGGACACAGATGACGTCCAACTCTATCATTCCTTTCCACCCACTGCTAAGGAGACTGTCCAGGTCCTGACCCAGTGCTTGGCAGCTGTGATGGTCTGGACGAGGGCGAACAAATTGAAATCTGGATCCAGACAAGACAGAAATACTTCTAGTCAGTCGAAAGGTCAAACAGGGTATAAGGTTACAGCCTGTGCTGGAAGGGTTACACTCCTCTTGAAGACACAGGTCGGGAGTTCTCCTGGACTCATCGCTGAGCCTGGAACCCCAGGTTTAAGCGGTGGCCAGGGGAGATTTTGCACAATTAAAACTTGTGCAACAGCTGCGCCTGTACCTTGGGAAGTCAGACATGGCCACGGTTATCCACACTCGTTACATTCCGATTAGATTACTGCAATGCGCTCTATGTGGGGGTTGCCTTTGAAGACTGTTTGGAAGCTTCAAGTAGTCCAACGGGCGGCAGCCAGGCTGCTCATTAGAGCAGCGTATAGGAAACACACAACCCTCCTGCTGCATCAGCTCCACTGGCTGCCAGTTTCCTACCGAGCACAATTCAAAGCCTATAAGTCCCTAAACTGTTCTGGCCCAGCTTATCTGTCCAAACACATATCACCCTATGAACCACCTCGAAGATTAAGACTTTCTGGGGAGGCCCTGCTCTCTTTCGCAGGTGTGGCTGACGGGGACGAAAGAGTGCACTTTATGCTGCTTCACATTACATTCGGCAGCAAACACTTTTTTTGGTTCTAGGGTTTTAAAAATCGAAGTGTGCATTGGATTTGATGGTCCATGAGGCTTAAGGCAATCTGGGTTTTGCTCTAGAAAATACACTTATGAACTGATTTTAGGGCTCTCCTTTATGGTCTGTGATGTACAAAATCCAGAGGTCAATAATCATCTCAATTTGTGCTGTGTAGGAGTGAGACAAAGAAAAACATCAGAAATCACTGTATCCGCTTCAAGAACCAATTTAATTGCTTGTCTTGCCGGTCTCCTCTTCTAGGGCTCGCTTCTACGAAGGACCCGAACTGGTGGCTGACACGGGGGTCGTGCTAGACACTACAATGCGGGGTGGGCGCCTGGGCGTCTTCTGCTTCTCCCAGGAAAACATCATTTGGTCCAACCTGCGGTACCGCTGCAATGGTGAGTCAGGAAAGGCTGCCAGAGATTTGAGGGATTGAGAAAGGAGCTGAGGACTGCTTCAGCTCCAAAGGAGTCAGAAAAAAACGGTGAAGAGGGGAAACTTTAAAGATAAAATTTCAGAAGGGAGAGCCAGGATTGACTGGGTTGTTTTGTGTTTTTTTGGGTTGTATGGCCATGTTCCAGAAGCATTCTTTCCAGACGTTTTGTTGTGAGGTCTGTTGGAAACTAGGAAAATGAGGTTTATATACCTGTGGAATAATGTCGGGGGGGGGGGGGGGGGGGGAGAGAAAGAACTCTTTTCTGTTGGAGGCCAGTGTGACTGTTGCAACTGGCCAATCTGATTAGCATTGAATGGCCTTGCAGCTTCGATGCCAGCTAGCTTATAGTCTATCAACAGGCCTAGTAGTTTAATAGCCTAGCAGTTTCAAGGTCTGCTAAGCCTAGCAGTTTCAGTTTAATGCCGTGCAGTTTCAAAATTGAAGAAGCCAGATCTTGAAACTGCTAGGCCATTAAATGCCAGCTAAAACATTCACACCTACCTCAAACAGGCAAGAGTTCTTTCTCCCACCCTGGGCATTCCACTTGCCTAGTTTCCAATAGACCTCACAACCTCTGAGGATGCCTGCCATAGATGCTGGCAAAACGTTAGGAGAGAATGCTTCTGGAACATAGCCAGACAACCCGAAAAACTCACAACAACCCGGTAATTCCAGCCATGAAAGCCTTCAACAACACGTAAGTCAGTATTCAGCTATGGGAGCTGGCCAGGATAAATGGGAAAATGGAGACGTTTGAAAGGTGATGAAAATATGTGAGTTTGTGGCCCTCCGGATGCCGTTGAGTGACAACTCCCATCAACTCTAGCACAGGGGATGATGGGATCTGGAAGGCTTTAATGTCGCTGTCTGCCCCAGGCTTTATGGCACGACGGCCCTTTGCAAGGAAAGGCCACTTCTATCAACTTGAAGGGAGACGATGACAATGTTGGCGTATGCCGCAAACTCATGCCCATGCCTCATCTTTTTTCCCTGTCTGTAGACACTATTCCCGAAGACTACGAGTCATACCGGAACCAGCGGGACTACTAAGCACCACTGCCTCGAATGGATTTACCTGGAACCCCCTACTGCTTGGCTTTTAAAAATATATAGAGAGATATATAATTTTAAATATTGTGGACTGTCCCCGAATGCTTTGCAACCACTGAGCATCGTCAATGCCTTACTACACCCCGATTTCTCTGATGTGTTCAGCACAATCTCAGGTCAGAGAGGCTCCGTTTTTTCACCACTTCCAAGTTTCCATGGGTGAAGATTTGAGAAAGGTGAGGAGGGCTGGACATCGGGGCCTGGGATCCCCTGAGGCCACAGATAGGTTTAAAACCCCAAATCCAACACCGGAGAACAATATCGCAGCCTCCTTCCTCCTAAATTCACCTGCTTTCGACACTAAAACAAGGTCAAAGGTCTCCTTTAGGTACTTACCAATCTGGATTCAGGTACGGATCAGGAATGTGTTCCGTCTCTTCCAGGAGGGGGCTGTTCCTGCTGTGGAAATAAATCTTTTTTTTAGTGAACATACCGTTTTGCCAGGTCTCTTTGTTTTAAATCCTGGACGACCAAATCCGACTCAGCTTGTGCAACATTCCAGAAAGCACTGGAAAAGAGTGGGGATTGTGGGACACTTAGAATCATAGAATCCTACAGTTGGAAGAGACCTCATGGGCCATCTGGTTCAACCCCATTCTGCCAAGAAGAAGGAAAATCGCATTCAAAGCACCCCCAACAGATGGCCACCTAGCCTCTGCTTAAAAGCCTCCAAAGAAGCAGCCTCCACTACACTGCGGGGCAGAGAGAGAGTTCCACTGCTGAACAGCTCTCAACAGTCAGGAAGTTCTTCCTCATGTTCCGGTGGAATCCCCTTTCCTGTAGTTTGAAGCCATTGTTCCATCGCATCCTAGTTTCCAGGGCAGCAGAAAACAAGCTTGCTCCCTTCTCCCTATGACTTCCCCTCACATATTTATACATAATCATGTCTCCTCTCAGCCTTCTCTTCTGCAGTCTAAACATGCCCAGCTCTTTAAGCCACTCCTCATAGGGCTTGTCCTCCAGACCCTTGGTCCTTTGAGTTGCCCTCCTCTGGACACATAGCAGCTTAGAGTCAACATCTCCCTTCAATTGCAGTGCCCAGAATTGGACACAGTGTGATTCCAGGTGTGGTCTGACCGAGGCAGAATTGAGGCATGACTTCCCTGGATCTAGGCCAGGCATCATCAAACTGCAGTCCTCCAGCTGTTTGGGCCCCCAGCTCCCAGAAGCCCTAACAAGCTTGTTCAATTGTCAGGAGTTCTGGGAGTTGAATGCCCGAACAGCTGGAGGGCCGTAGTTTGAGGATGTCTGATCTAGGCACTAGACTCCTATTGCTGCAGGCCAAAATCCCATTGTTTTTTTTTTTTTTGCTGCTGCATGACATTATTGGCTCATGTGCATCTTCCTGTTCACAAGGACTCAAAGATCTTTTTCACGCATACTGCTGTCGAGCCAGGCACTGTCCCACATTCTGTCTCTTTGCATTTCATTTTTTTTTCTGCCTGAATAGAGTATCATCATCATCATCATCTTGCATTTGTCCCTATGGAACTTCACTGTGTTAGTTTTGGCCCATCTCTTGAATTTGTGAAGATCGTTTTGAATTCTGCTCCTGTCTTCTGGAGTTTTAGCCATCCCTCCCAATTTGGTCCCATCTGCAAATTTGATGATCATGCCTTCTGACCCTTCATCTAAGTCATTAATAACTTAATAACAACGTTGAACAGAACCGGGCCCAGGACAGAACCCTGCTTCTGGCACTCCACTCATCACTTCTTTTCAGGATGATGAGGAAGCATTAGGGAGAATCACCCTTTGGGTTTGTTTGCTTAACCAATTACAGATCCAGCTCACCATAGTTTTGCCTAGCCCACATTGGACTAGTTTCCTTGCCAGAAGGTGATAGGGGACCTTGTCGAAGGAAGGCCTTCCTGGAGTCCAGATACACTTCATCCACAGCGTTCCCTGCATCTACCCAGCTTGTAAATCTATTGAAAAAAGAGATCAGATTAATCTGGCATGACTTGTTTTTGATAAATGTGGACTATTAGCGATGACCACATTCCTTTCTAAGGGTTTGCAGACCACTTCCTTAATGACCTTTTCGAGAATCTTGCCTGGTATCGATGTGAGGCTGACCAGACAGTAATTGTTTGAGTCGTCCACATTTGCCCTCCTTCAATCTGCTGGGATTTGTCCCGTTCTTCAAGAATTCTCAAACATCGTTTCCAGTAGTTCCGAAATGATTTCTGCCAGTTCCTTCAATACTCTTGGATGTAGTTGATCTGGCCCTGGGGACTTGCATTTGTTTTGAGTGGCCAGGTATTCCTAGATGACTTCTTTCCCTATTTGAGGTTGGATTTCCCCTAAACCTTTGTCCACTCCATTTTGCTTAGGCTGAGGATGGCTTTCTTGTTATGAGAAGACTGAGGCAAAGAAGGCATTGAGTAGTTCTGCCTTTTCCCTATTCCCTGTCAGCATTTCCCCATCTTCTCCTCGCAGAGTCCCTATCGCCTTCTTGTGGGACACTTCCCAGCGCTTCTTTTCCCCATTGGAGTCCACCACCCACCCACATACAAACATACATATTATTTCTTCAAGACATTCACCTGCACATCCTTTGGCTTTTGCGGCATCCGTTGGCAGCAATGGCTCAATATGAGTACCGTATCAATTGGTCTCAGTAAAATATGTGTCCTGAATCAATTCCCCCACAATCTGAAAACGAATTAAGTGAGAGAAAGGGCTCGAGGAGCTTGGGAGGATGAAACGATAATAAAAGGAGCATTAAAAGAATATAGGAGCTGGGCTCAGACTATGAGACTATTAGGCAAGCAGCACTCTCTCAGCCTCAGAGGAAGGCTACAGGTTGCTTTTTTATCAGCATCGAAATAAAAATGAAGAAGGCCCAACAGAAGCAGTAGTAGAATACATACAAAATCAAAAGCTACCAATCCTCTCTGAAATGGGGCAAGCACAACTGAACACCCCAAACAGTTGGCTCTCCCACTCCCTGATCCTGCTATGTATATCATTTAAATCCTGGCCAAAACTAAGTCAGATAGAGTCCCATTTAAGGCAATCAGAGAGATTCCCATTTAAGGTAGTGGACATGCCCCAGAAATATATATATATATACACACGCACGCACGCGCACACACACACATTAAAGTGAAAATAGTATGTATGTGTGTGTGGCTGGGGTGTCCACTTACAGGGTCAAGATTCTGCCGCCACAAACAGCTAACTGTTCAGAAGACACCAATGGCCCTCCCTCCAATTACATTGCAAATTATAGTGAGCACCGTAAACATGTAACCCTACCCTTACCAATGTCCTCCACCAACACCATACTGCCCACCACCCAAGTGAATACTTTCATACAGGGACCATTTCATCCTAGATCTTGTTTTTTTCCTCCACCACAGACATCCCAGTGTTTTTTATTCTCTCCATTGGTATGAAATTTGCATGATCCTGCTCACTGCCTCTCCCTTAATCCTTTCCTATTCCTTTCTGTGGCACACAGCAAACAGAGGAATTGATCAACAACTGAACATACTAGAGAGGAATTGATCAGCACCCAGGGGAAGTCACCATGTTTTATAGGAGGTACTGTAGGTACTAGAATGTGTAGTTCTTCTGCAATCTAAGAGCACTCTAAACTCCACCAACAATGGACCTGGAACTAACCTGGCACACAGTAGCTCCAAGACCAACAAAATATACTGGAGGTCTTTGGAGCGATTTATAGAAGTTGCAGTTCACCTACATCCAAAGCGCACTATGAACCCAAACAACGATGGATCTGAACCAAACTTGGCATGTACACCCGATGTGCCCAAATTTGAATACTGGTGCGTTTTGAGGGGAATTGGCCTGGATATTTTGGAGTTGTAGGTACTGGGATTTATAGGTCATCTGCAATCAATGTGCACTCCAAACACCACCAAAGGTGGAACTGGACCAAACTTGGCACACTGAGCCCCCATGACTAGCAAAAAAATACTGGAGAAAATTCACCTTGATTTGGAGGAGTTGTAGTTCACCTGCATCTAGAGAGCACTGTGAACCCAAACACTGATGGATCTAGACCAGTGGTTCTCACCCTGTGGGTCCCCAGATGTTTTGGTCTTCAACTCCCAGAAATCATAACAGCTAGAAAACTGGCTGAGATTTCTGGGAATTGTAGGTCAAAATACCTGGGGACCCACAGGTTGATCTAGACCGAACTTGGCACATACCTGATATGCCGAAATTTGATTACTGGACAGGTTTGGGGGTACTGACCTTCCTTTCTGGGAGCTGTAGTTCACCCACAACCAGAGAAACTGTGACCTCCACCAATGATGAACCTGGACCAAACTTGGCACACAGAACCCCCATGACTAACTCAACCTACCGGAGGGCTTTGAGCAAACTGGCTCACCATAGTGAGAGTTGTAGTTTATGCAGAGAGCATACCGAACCCCAACGGTGATGCATGTAGAGCAAACATAACAAACTTTAAGTACTGATGGAATTTCTTGGGGTTAACCTAGCATGATGTGAGTTGTAGTTCACCCACAACCTTATGCATTTTGTACAATTCAAAAATTGGCTTTTTCAAATAACCCAGGCAACGCCAGGGACCCAAACTAGTAAATAAAATGACTCTCTTAAGCAACTTTGAACCAAAAGACCCAAAAGGCGCTTTTTCGGCAAAAAAAAAAGAAATAAAAGGAAACATCAGAGAAAAAGCAGAGCTGAGCAGCCGGAGAGAAAAACAGCTGGACTTTATTACATGTCATTTACAAAGAATGCAAAGTTACAAAGACAAAAGGTGGGGGGAGAAAAAAAACAAAACAAGAACAACAACAAAAAAAGAGGAAACAGACCCAAAAAAGAGATTGAAAATAATGTACACAGAGGTTTGCTGCTTTTTGTTTTTTTTTCACATCGTTGTCGGTTGCGAAAAAGGAACGAAACACACACGCGCAATGCTTACAAAGCCACTTTCAGGGTTCCTTGTATAGTTTGAAAGGTTTTTTTTGCCAAGAGAGAAAAAGCCACAATAAATTAAGCTTCGGTGAGTTTCCTCGAGTGACCCCCCATTCTCCCCCCCCCCCAATAAAACGGTAGGTTTTGCATATATCAGTTAAAGTCATTCCGCTAGTCCTCGGGATTCAATAAAAACATTGATGCACAGTCCCAAAAAAATACCGAAAATGGAGAGCGGTTTCCTTCCCCAACCCTTGTATTAAACGTCAAGTGTGAAGCATGAGAAACAGATAGATAGATGATAGATAGATAGATAGATAGATAGATAGATAGATAGATAGATAGATAGATCTGCCTCTTTGTATTTTCGTCTGGAAAACCCCCAGATCTGTAGCCACTACCAAGCATTAACTTTCTCTTCTACTTCTTATGTTGAAAATTCTGGATGTCTCTAATGACTAAAAGGTTACCATAAATACAGACTGAAAGGTGCCCAGACAGGTGCGATTTTGGGCAGAAAAGGGGAAGGATGATTGCAAAGGCGACTGATGTTTCAACCAGTCTCTGGATGGCCATGTGCCAGGAAGACTTGGATGGTGCCTTCTAGCCTGGCAGAAGAGGGTTGGACTGGAGTGTCTTTGGGAGTCCCTTCCAAATCTAGGGTTCTAGAATATTAATACTCTTTGATAATAATAATGAGGAGGAGGAAGTCTCCTTACCTGGAGGTTTTTAAACAGAGGCTGGATGGCCATCTGTTGGGAGCACTTGGATTGTGTCTTACTGCCCAGCAGAAGAGGGTTAGACTGGAGGGCCCTAGGGGGTCTCTTCCAAGCTCCATGACTTCACGATCTGCACTGGGACACAGGTATTGCCTGGCAGAAGGGGAGTGGACTGGATGGTTATCTGTCGGGAGGGATCGAATGGTGCCTTCCTTTATGGCAGGGAAGGGCAATGGACCAGATGGCCATGGTGCCTTTATGGCCATGAAGGGGAATGGACTGGATGGCCATCTGCCAGGAGGGATCAAATGGTGCCTTCCTTTATGGCAGAGAAGGGGGATGGACTGGAACTGGATGGCCATCTGTGGGGAGGGATTGAATGGTATCTTCCTACCCCTCTTTTTTCTCTAGGATTGATCTCAAGTTCGGGGATCTTACACTATCTGCAACGTTCCTTGTGGGAATTACGCCTGACGTTCCGGCTGCCTTTCCTTCCTTCCTTCCTTCCTTCCTGTCTGTTAACTCTAGTTTTCTGACTTCTTCCTTTCAGCCTGAAAAACACAACGAGAGAAAGATTGGGAAAACTGAACATTTTTTATACAAAAGGGGAGAAGGAAAACCAGGCCAAAACATATATATATATATATATATATGGTACTGCTTTCTATCCCCTTTTCTTTTTAAAATTGGGAGATATTGCCCCCTTGAAATCGATTAGCAGCAGCCTGCGAGCTCAAGGAATGCACATGCTAGATAACGGACAGCTATTACATATTGAATCACTTTTTTGTCTTATTTTTTCCACTTTTTAAAAATAAGAATACAAGGGGTTTTGACTGAAGCAGGAGCGAGGCATAAGTCATCTTCCGCAGGCCTTCCGCAGGGAATTACTTGAGTCGTTTATTGATAAAACATACATACATACGTACGTACATACATACATACACAAACGCGCCCTCTCCAGAAAAGAAAGGGGATCGAAATAAAGTCTCAAAGCACATAACAGTTCAAAAGTTCCTTAAAAGTAGTGTTGGCGGCATGCCCCAAACCGTCCGCGCCGATTAATCCCCGCCAAAAAGAAAACTGATGAAAAGTTTCACAAAGTAAGAGAGAATGAGGAAGAAATGGGGAGGAGGAAAAAGAAAGGGTTGATATTGTACATCGTTTGTCACAGTGTGTGGAAATGCCGCAAAAGTATACAACTCAAAAAGGAGAGAGAAAATATTTAACAGGGCCGGGCTTTAGCACAGTGGGTTAAACTGCCAGCTGTAGAAAATCTTGCCAATCAAAAGGCTGGCAGTTCAAGCCCGGATTGGGGTGAGCTCCCTGTCAGCCCAGTTTCTGCCCACCTAGCAGATTGAAAACAGTGACTAGATAAATCGGTTCCGCTTTTAGTGGGGAGGTAATAAAAAGTGCCCATAAGAACATGCCGGTGATTCGATCAGGAGGACGTCTATGGACAACAAAGTTCCTCCGCATGGAAGATGGAGCAACAGCACCACCCCGTCGCCGGAGTTGAGCACAGCCTCCAGATTTCGGAGAAGTTAAAGATGGGAAAGCCTATCTTTGTTTATGTATTGTCAGTCCTTGTTAACTGTATAATGCCACTGAATGTTTGCTGTACATGTGTTCTGTAATCTGCCCTGAGTCCCCTCGGTGAGATAGGGTGGAATATAAATAAAGTATATTATTGAAGTATATTATTATTACAAAACAAAAACAACCGAGAAATGTTTCATTTTAAAAAAGAATACATGGAGATATACATCTGGTTGTTCCTTCTCACAGTGACAAAATTTTAGTTTGTGTTTCCTGAACACAAGGGACCCGAAAGCAAGCGTCTATCTTCTATCTTCAGGACGGTCCCGAAATACAGCAATGCTAATGTGAGAAGGGACCCCAAAGGCAACGCAGTCTAACCCCAATTTGCAATGACACCACCTGATCCCTCCCAACAGATGGCCATCCAGCCTCTGATTCCCCTCCCCCCCCCAAAAAAACCCCAACAAAACAGAGAAGGAAGGATATCCCAAAACGTTTCACTTCACGAATATTCTATATCTGGAGTTTCCCGTATTCACGCAAAGTCCGAGGAATGTATTTTGCCATTATGCAAAAGAACAACTTCCCAGTCGAATGTGAGCCCAACAGTGAGCTGCATCAGCGGAAAACAGTGTGATGCAGGGGTTGGGCTTAGCACAACGGGTTAAACCGCTAAGCTGCAAAAAAGCCTGCCCATCAAAAAGTTGTCAGTTGAACCCCGGGTTGGGGTGAGCACTCGCTATCAGCCCTAAATCCCTGCCCACCTAGCAGATCGAAAAAAGAAATGTGAGTAGATAAATAGGTACTGCTTTAAGCGGGGAGGTAATAAAAGGTGCCCATAAGGACATGCTGACAATTTGACTGGAAGGACATCTAAGGATGACAAAGCTCCTCGGCATGGAAGATGGAGCGCCAGCACCCGCCCGTGGCCAGAATCGAGCAGTCTCCAGATGTCGGAAATGGAAGAGATGGAAAAAGCCCTTTGTTTATGTATTGTCTATCATTGTTAATTGTACAACACATTGAATGATTGCTGTATATGTGTTCTGTAATCTGCCTGAGTCCCCTCAGGGAGACAGAGCAGAATATAAATATAGTATAATATTATTATTATGAAAAAGCCAATGCAATGCTAAGCTGCATCCCTAGGAGTCTGGTATCTTAAAATCGAGTTGTCATCCCAATTAAGCTCCGGTTCAGACCTCACTTGGAATAATCCTTTGTACTGAAGAGAACGAAATTTTATAAATGTTAATTTTATAACAATGAAGTTTTAAAAAGAAAGACTGAGACAGAAGGGAGTTGGGGAATTGGAGGAGTTGAGACAAGGATCTAAACTCATTCTGCCAGTCTCTGCTAGACAAAACAGAACACAGCAGGAGTCTTAAGATAGGACAGCCCCAAATGATTCCAGGTCTGGAATCCAATCTTTAGGAACAGCGGTGAGCACAGCAGGTTAAAAACCGCCAACTACATAAAATCTTGCTGAGCGGAAGGTTGGCAGTTCAAGCTGCGGGTGGGGTGAGCTCCCGCAATCAGCCCTAGCTTGCTGCTTACCTAGCCGTTTGAAAACAGTAATGCAAGTAGATAAATATTTAGTGCTTTGCGGGGAGGTAAAAGGCACCCCTGAAGACATACTGACAATTTGATCAGAAAGAACAACAGGCTCCTCAGCATGCAAAAATGGAACAACAGCACCTACCCATGACCAAGTCGAGCACAGCCTTCAGATGCTGGAAATGAAAAGAGGGAAGCCTTGCCTCTGTCTATGTGCTGTCCGTCTTTGTTTGTAAATTGTATAATGGCACTGAACGTTTGCCATAAATGTATTCTGTAATCTGCTCTGAGTCCCCTCAGGAAGATATAAATAAAGATTATTATTATTATTATTATTATTATTATTGAGATAAGGGATCTTGAGTTTGGAGAAGATAAGGTTAAGAGGAGAACATGCACAAGAAATGTGTTTAAATATCAGAAAGAAGCTCACATTGAGGAAGAGGGCAAGCTTGTAGTCTCCTAGAGATTCGGAGCCATGGATTCAAATGGCAGGGAAAGATATGTCAGGTGGAAAAATGCTGTTAAGATAGGAATACATTGCATGTGCTTCCGGTGTATGAAAAAATACAGTTCTAATGCACATGTGTTCACAGCACATTCCACTGAAGGGTTAAAGCAAGTGGAGATGTAATCCTAGAGGGACAGTAGTCGTTTCCTATAATCCCTGGAGGGAAAAATTGGAGTAGCAGTTCGAAAACAGCAATGTGAGTAGATAAATAGATACCGCTTTGGTAGGGAGGTAAAAAAAGGAACTGATGTGTACATGCCGGCGATTCAATCGGGGCAGTGTCTAATGACAACAAAGTTCCTCAGAATGGAAAATGGAGCAACAGCACCCCCCATGGCCGGAGTCGAGCACAGACTCCAGATGCCAGAGATGGAAGAAGATGGGAAGCCTTTACCTCTGTTTATGTACGGTCTGTCCTTGTTAATTGTATAACGGCATTGAATGTTTGCTATATCTGTGTACTGTAATCCACCCCGACTCCCCTCAGGGAGATAGGACAGAATATAAATAAAGTATATTATATTATTTGACTTCCTGTATCTGTAATCCATTGCCATCCTTGTCATATGAGTGTCTTGCTATGGTTGTGAGCATCTATGCATACTTATGCAGACATGTACATAGTTATATGTAGCAACGACTGAAGAATAAACTCCAAAGGAGTTTACATGAAAACATACAGTAGGCTCAGTGGAGCCGTGGATTGCAAAACGGCTTGCATTAGCTCCCTTCTCCCATCATTTGAAGTTGACGATGTTGTTTCAGGGCCTGGAAAGCCACGGGGAACATCTCATATAATGGCACCCTACTTCTGAGGAACATTTTCTAGACTTGGGCCTCGAAATACCCAAGAAGCCTTGGTTCCTGTTTCTGGATTTAACTCTTTGTGTTTAACTCTTCCAATGGCCACCTATTATAAATGAGGCCATTTTCTTCCTACAGTTGGTGGGATGGATGGGTTGCAATTTTGCTGTTAAAAATAAAGTATTATTATTATTATTATTATTATTATTTACTCTCTACCTCCATGACAAAGAGATTTTATCTCAACATTAGGAAGATCTTCCTGAGGGCAAGAGAGGAATATGTGTGATGGGAGTCTCTATCTCTGGAGTTTTTTGAAGCACAGGCGAGATGGCTCTCTGTTGGGAAGGATCGGATATTATCTCCTTATCAGACTGGAAGACGTTGGAGGCCTCTTCCAACTCAATGACTTCACCATCTGCATTAGGACACAATTATTATTATTTGTATTACTAAAATGAATGGGGGGTCAGCTGATCGGATCCACTGCTTTTCTTACCCCAAAACAGATGGCACTCTTCTATGAAATTCCAGCCTATAATAAGTTAGAGAAGATATGAAACGAAGGCAGTCAAAGGTTAGCTTCGTAGATGTGTTTTTATGAGAGAGAAAGGGAAGGAAGGGGCCGTCCTTAATAGGACGGTGCAAGAGATTTGCACCTTGGACCTTTTTCTTACCAATCTTAGTTGGTTCGTTGTAACAGAGAGGCATCTTGAAATTTCTGGACCGTCAGGCAAAAGAGAAGCAGTGGCAAGATGGGAAACAGGAGTGCATGAACGCGACGGGAAGAGGGCAGCCAAAGTGTCACACAAAAAATGCACATCGAACCGGACAAGACTTTAAAAACATAAACAATCCTCACCCATTTTTTTCTTTAGTGCAAAATATATATATCTATATACATATATGATAAACCGAGGATGGCACTGATGTGACGGAACAAACATGCAGCGGCGGACTGGCCTCAAAGGTGTCAGCTTGCGCGACTGAAACACTGGACGAGCTATATAATTATAAAAGATAAAGTATGTTTGTCTGTTGGTACCACAAAAGCAGTTGCTAGGTGAAGTGGCCATCTGTGATGTCACTGGGAAAAGAAAAGGAGGAAGAGAGGAAGAATACACAACAACAACCACAGAGACATTGTGAGAAGGGAGAAAGAGAAGTGGAAGGAAAACAGGAAAGAGAAAATATGGGAAAGAAAAGAAAGAAGAAGGGAAAGAGGTGTAAGAAAGAAATGAAAGAGGAGAGAGAAAGAGAAAAGAAAGGGGTAAAGGTATGAGGAGAGGAGAGGAAAGGAATGAAAGGAAGGAAGGAAGAAGGGAAAAAATGAAGGGAGAAAGAAAGAAGAGAGGTGGAGAAAGAAAAACGAAGGATAGAAAAGGGGAAAAGGTATGATGGAAGAGAAAGAAAGGATGAAAGCAAGGAAGCAGCAGCTCCTCTGATGGGTATCTGTGCTAATATGTTAAAAGTGTCAATGCTCAAAATGTCTGGGAAAATATAACAGAATTTCGAATGCTATTAACAAATGAGACTAAAACCTACACCATGTTACTATTTCAATAACAATTCTAATGGTACTTATTTGTCACTTTTGTATGTATTTCTTATAAACACACTTTTGTCTCCCAGCAAGCGATATTTTTAAGGCTCAGTCCGCCACTGCCAACAACATGCGCTTGGAAAGGGATTCGTAACACATCCGCACGCCCCCTAAATGCAAATACGACTCCTCATTGGGCCTGTTCAGGGTTTCAAAGTTGTCGGGGATCTTCTCTATAACCTCACTACTGTCCCAATTTACATCCGGTGGGAAAACATAACCTCACTACTGTCCCAATTTACATCTGGTGTGAAAACAGCCTTTCCTCAGTGGCTCTAGGATAGAATTTCTAAGAAAACGGTACCTTCCCTTGTTATCTTTCCATCGACAAGAACCGCAAACACAGGACTCAAAGAACAGTATCTGCAAGTAAACAAGGGAAAACGGGCGCTTTATCGTACACGGCGATCGTGCAGAGATGAATTCTCTGTGCCAAAGCAAGGCGCAAGCGTAAGGTTTCCTATATGAGAGGACCGCGCTTAGCTGAACCAAAGGAACAACAACAGCAGAGAGTTGTCAAATCCAAAGGGCATAGTGTCTTTCTGAGGGAGGAATGACTATCCACAAAGTCTCGTATTAACTTGAAACACATCCCCGACTAATTTCGCTCCCTGCCCCGACAGCAACCCGATACGCCATGCGCGAGAAAGAGCTTAAATAATTAACAAAACAAACACGAATTTTGTACACTATCTTCTCCAAGCAAAGCAAGGCAGCGGCGTGTTTCGAAAGAGTCCTTTCCGCAGGAGGAGACGAATGCCGCTGGGGGTTCCTTTGAGGCAAGAAATATGGCGGGATTCGCAAGGAGGGCGTACCAACCCTATGTTGTGCCAAGCAAAACGACATTGCTTCCTGTAAGCCGGAGGCAGAATGGTAGCCATTCGTTAAGGAAAGAGTTTGGGGAGGGGAAATAAGGAAAAGGGTTTATCTGTATCCCGGCCCCTTCGGTTTCACCGTACTTTTCTTTAGGAAACGCAGCGGCCCCCAAACAAAAAGGCGTCCCGTTTCTGTAACAGAACCCAACGGCTCGGTAGCTTCACAAAGATATCTCTTTTAAAACGAACAAACAAACATTTATCTCCGACTTGTGTCGAAAGTGGGGGGAGGCGGCTTGACTTTTCTTGCTACCGCAAACATTTTAGTGCAAAGGCTAAAAACAAACAAAAAAAACAACACAACCGAAACCCCGCAAAACAGGACCAAACGCTAGAAGCTTTGGTGACAAAGCAGGGAGGGCAGGAGGGTGTTTGGGGAGTAGCTTCTCTCGACAGCCAAAGCCTGCGCAAGGGCTCAAACAGGGCGTGGGGAAAGGGGCGTTTGGCAGGTGTCGGGCAAGCACTGTGGAAACGGGGTGCGGCGGGGAGGCTCCGGGCAGCTTCCCAAGGCCAGGTGGCCCCTCGGAGGCATTCGAAGGGGGCTTGGAGACCTCTTTTTCACTCTCTCTCCCCATCCCACGCTGTCACATCCTTCTTCCTCCCCCCCCCCACCCTCCCCGGTCTTCCTGCCCACCAGTCCTCTGCCCGCTACAGACGGTCCATCCGGAACGTATCCTCTGTGGCCGGGTCGGCCAGGACCATGTCCGGGTCATTGAGCATGTGCAGCCCGTCCAGGGTCAAAGGGTCGATTTTGAGTTCATCCAGAGGGAACTGGGAATCTGAGTCGAAGCTGACGTCACCGACCCCAGCTAGGGAGCTGGTCAGGTCCTTTGAGAGGCTGGGGGGCGACTCCCCCGTCACTGGAGAGAGAGAGAGAGGAAAGAAGGAAGGAAGGATGAAAGGAGGGGGGAAATAGGGAAATTGGTTGGAGAAAAGCAGAAGGGAGAGAGGGCGGTGGGAGGAGAAACAGTATTTGGTTTAAGAAAAGAAAGGAAAAAAGGGAGGGGGAGGAAACAGGGGAATTGGTTGGAGAAAAACAGAAAGGATGGGGGTAGGGAGGAAGTAGGGAAAGAAGGAAGGAAAAATGGGGGAATTGTTTGGAGAAAAAGAAGGAAGGGGAAATGGAGGAATTGGTTGAAGAAAGACAAGGAGGAAGAATTGGTTAGAGAAAATCAGAAGGGAGAGAAGGAGAGAAAACATGGGAATTGAAGAAAAATAAGGGAAGAAAGAAGGAAGGAAGGAAGGAAGGAAGGAAGGAAGGAAGGAAGGAAGGAGAAATCGAGGAATTGGTTAGAGAAAAACAAAAGGGAAGGAAGGAGCGAGGAAGAAAGGAGAAATAGAGGAATTGGTTGGAGAAAAACAAGGAAGGAAGGAAGAAGGAAGGAAGGAAGGAAGGAAGGAAGGAAGGAAGGAAGGAAGGAAGGAAGGAAGGAAGGAGAAATAGGATATTGGTTGGAGAAAAACAGTGGGGAGGGAAGAGAAACAAGGGAATTGGTTGGAGAAAAACAAGGAAGGAAGAATGGAGGAATTGAAAAACAAGAGGAATGGAGGGAGGGAAAATGTAGGAATTGATTTAGGGGAAAAAAAGAAGGTAGGGAGGAAGGGAGGAGAGGACAGACTTGGTTAGGATAAGACTATTTCTCCTTCGACCGTGGACACTTTTCAGGGTCACTGAAGGGCCCTGATGACCACACTAGACCTCTGTCAATTTCCCACGCAACCTGCATTTTTCTGAGTTTTCACCCCACCCCCACCCCAAGTGAAAAGAACTGCCCTGAAGGAAGATCTACAAATGCCCCAAGAAGTGTTCCCTCAAATTCTAGGTCTTTCAACACAACCCAATAGACAATGCCCAGGAGATATTAAACCTTCCATACGGAGTGATTTGTCCGCTATACAGAGTGATTTGAGGGTTTTTTTCATGCAATGGAGCTGACACAGGTTTCACCCTGCAGCCTGTGGCAACCACTTCCCAATTACCATTCCATTTGGTTTTGGGTTTTTGTTCCTGTCTGCTGTTAAGAACATTTCTTGTGATGTTCCTCTTCGCAATGAAAAGAGCTATACTTTCTTCCCAATGAAATCAATGGGGCTACACTGAGCTTCCATTTCTCCTTCCTTCCAGAAAGATTGAAGCAATTTCAACCTGCGACTTGCCAATTTGGGAGGAAGTTGATAGATGAGCAGAGAGCTTCCTACCCATCCCTTTCCCTCTCCATTAATTCCCTTGTGCCCAAAGTGCCGGCCGCACCTGTGAGGATGATATTGGGGATGTTGCCATGGCTGGTGTAACTCAGCGGCGGGGCGTCCTGGAGGCTGCCATGGCTGCCGGTGAGCCCCATCATGGTGGCCTGGGAGTAGTTGAGGGTGGAGCAGGGGCTGTAGAGGCTGTTGGAGCTGATGGCGTTCTCAATCATATTGAACTGCTCGAGCTGGAGGAAGGAATCCTGGAGATAAGGACTTAAAAGAGCTTTGCCGCATCGGATCAAAGGCCCACCACCACACCCGGCCATCCCCACTTTTCCCTCCCAGCAGTTAGTAACACGAGAGAAGACTGGCCTTGTGCATGGAGTACGTCCTGGTGAGGTTTAGGGGAGGGTGGACTATGGACAATGGGATTTGCAGGATTCAAGGCATAATGTCAAATATTTTCAAGGAGGCAGTAGTAAGACCCCCTTTGAAGAAACCAGCACTGGAGATCACTCAACTTAACAACTATAGGCAAGCATTAAATCGCCCTTCCTGGGTAAGGTTCTAGAGAAGGTGGTGGCCTCACAACTCTAAAGTTTCTTGGATGAAACCGATTATCTAGATCCATTTCAATCTGGTTTCAGGCCTGCCTATGGAACTGAAACAGCAGTCACCTTGGTGGATGATCTACGAAAAGAGTTAGACAGGAGGAGTGCGTCAGCTGCGCCTGTACCTTGAGACGCCAAATCTGACCATAGTAGTCGACACCCTAGTTACATTCCGTCTGAACTACTGCAACAGTCTCTACATGGGGCTGCCTTTGAAGATAGTTCGGGAGCTTCCAACAGTCCAAAGATCGGCAGCCAGGTTACTAACTGGAGTGCTGTACAGGGACTGGACAACCCCCATGTTATGGCAGCTCCACTGACTGCTGATCTGCTTCCGGGCTAAATGCAAAATGCTGATTGTTACCTATAAAGCGCTAAATGGTTCGAGTCCAGGCTACTTAATTAACTGCATCTCTGTGTATAAACCTACACGGACACTGTGTTCATCAGAGGAGGCCCTGCTCTCAGTCCCACCTCTGACTCAAGTGCAGTTGGTCGGAACGAGAGAAGGGGCCTTCTCTATGACTGCCCCCTCCCTCTAGAATTCCCTCCTTCTGGAAGTAAGAACAGATTCCTCACTCCTCTCCTCCAGTAAGCAATTAAAAACACACATCTGTACACTGATCTTCAGAGAGAAGGATGATTAGCTTCTTACGCTTCTGTTCTTATGTTTCTATGATGAGGTTGACGGAGAACACTAACACTCATTGCACAGTCACACTTTTATTGTTCATTTTTCATGTTGATCCTATTAATTCACTACGTTATTTATGGAACTTATTATTTGTTTTAACGATTGCTGTGTCATTTGTGAATTTTTAATTGCTTGTTTTAATTGTTTTTTAAATTGATGTTTATCTCTATTTTGTTTTTGTCTTTATAATCCGCCCTGAATCCCTTCAGGGAGAAAGGGCAGATTATAAATAAAGTTGTTGTTGTCATCATCATCATCATCATCACCACCTTCACCCATATCCAGAAACTACTGCTAACACCATCAGCCATGGATCTGGACCAATCTTGAGACACAGACCCCCTCCCCCCCCCATCATGACCCACTTTACATCCCGGTGAGTTTTGGGGGAGGATGGACTACAGACAATGGGATTTCTAGTACCTTCACCCACATCCAAAGACTACTGCTAACTCTATCAGTCATGGACATGGACCAAACTTGGGACACAGATCCCCCATGACCCACTTTACATCCTGGTGAGGTTTAGGGGAGGGTGAACTATGGATGATGGGATTTCCAGTACTGTCATCCACATCCAGAGAGTACTGCAAACCCATCATCTATGGATGTGGCCAAACTTGGCACACAGATCCACCCCATGGCTACTTTAAATACTCACAGGGTTTGGGGAGAAATGACTGAGGATGGTGGGACTTATGACCCATTCATATCCTTATGACTTTTTCTAATGTTTATCCTTACCAAATTAACTAATCCGGGCGTTGGCAGATACCTAAGCTAGTAGGCAATAAAAATGAAATGCAGATATAGGATGGGTGACACCTGGCTTGGAGACAGTCCATGAGAAAGGGATCAAGGAGTCTGAGCAGACACAAGCCAAACCTGTGTGTGGCTGGGGTGTCCGCTTCCACAGACAAGCTCCTGCCTCCACAAACAGCTATAGCTCCCACCACTCAGGAGGCACCGAAGGTCCGCCCTCCCACAACATTGCAGGTTATAGAGAGTGCCATGAAAATGTCCAAAAACCCTGCCAATGTCCTCCACCAACACCATTTTGCCCACCATCCAAGTGTAGGCTTTCATATGTGGACAATTCCATCCTAGATTTTCTGTTTTTCCTCCACCACAGACATCCCTGTGTTTCTGACTCTCTCCAATGGTGAGACCCCGCCCACTCCCTCTCGCGTAACCCTTTCCTATTCTTTTCTATGGCACACAGCAAACAGAGGAATTGATCAGCAACGGAATATACTAGAGAGATTTGGGGAGAATTCACTATGACTTATAGGAGTTGTAGAGACTGGGATGTATAGTTCACATGCAATCTAAGAGCACTATGAATTCCACCAACGATAGACCTGAAACTAACTTGGTACACAGAACCTCCATGTCCAACAAAACATGCTGGATGTCTTTGGAGGGATTTCTAGGAGCTGTAGTTCACCTATATCCGGAGCGCACTATGAACCCAAACAATGATGGATCTGGACCAAACTTGACATGCCCAATATGCTCAAATTTGAATACTGGTGGGTTTTGAGGGGAATTGACCTGGACATTTTGGAGTTGTAGGTACTGGGATTTATAGTTCACCTACAATCAATGAGCTCTCTGAACTCCACAAAAGATGGAATTGGACCAAACTTGGAACACAGAGCCCCCAAGACCCTGGAAATGAGCAGCCATAGGCCCATACTTGCTATTGCTGTTACTTTAGTTATAGTACTTTATCGAACTCCCTGGCCCCTATATATTTTGATTTTGCACTAGCCTCGGCCTGGCCTTTTTAAATTGTCTTGACCCTTTTTCCTCACCCTAACAAACAGGCACGAAGAACAGGCAGGATTATTTTTAATATATATACATGTTGTGACATTTTTATGCTTGTGTTGTTTGGTTAATTTTTATGCTTATGTTGTCTATTCTGTATGTTTTGGTGTTGTTACTAGGTAACCGCCCTGAGTCCCCTCGGGGAGACAGAGCGATATATATAAATAAAGTTTTATTATAAGACCAGCAAAAAATACTGGAGGTCTTTGGGGAAATGCACCTTGATTTGGGGGAGCTATAGCTCACCTAGATACAGAGAGCATTGTGAACCCAAACACCAATTGATCTGGACCAAACCAGGCACACATACCTGATATGACGAAATTTGATTACTGGAGGGGCTTGGGCACAGGGTGGGAGTTGGGGGGGGGGGGTTTGGATAACTGACCTTTCTTTCTGGGAGTTGTAGTTTACCCTACTGCCAGAGAACTCACTGAACCCCACAGATGATGCATTGAGAGCAAACTTGTCCAACATGACAAATTTTAAGTATTGATGGAGTTTCAGGGAGTTAACCTGGCATGATGTGAGTTGTAGTTCACCCACAACCTTATGCATTTTGTAAAATAAAAAAATGACTTTTTAAAATAACTTGGGAAATATTGGGGACCCAAGCTAGTACATATAGAAAATAAAGCAGATTTGTGTAGGGAAACATAAGGTTTGCTCACCTGGTGGGACAAGGCATTCGCCTGCCTGGCCGTCATCTGCTGATCGTAACAGGAGTCTCCGAAGACACTCCCCAAGATGGACGTTTGCTGCAGAAGAACAAAACAAGGGTTAACCTTCTGTGGAGAGTGGATCCCCATTTGAGAGCCTCTTGAATGAAGACGTCTTTAAAAAGGTAGAATGTTAAAGAGGATTGTGAACCAAGCTGGCAATCTGGAGGAGAAGGTAATAGCAGCTTGAAAGCTTTTATGAAACAGTCGCTTAAGGGCTCCTTCCTCCTTTTCCAGCTCGCTTCCTTCATATAGATCTGGTTGGTTTGCATATCAATTCTAAGCAAACAAAATGTATACATAAATACAATAACTAACAATAGTAATAGTAGCAATAATAATAATAACCCCATATTCATAGTATAAAAATAATTTAACTAATAACAACACTAATAGTAGCAATAGTAATTATAATAATAACAATCCCATAACCATAGGGATATGTTTCCAGACTTTGGATGGATATGTAGATAACAGTGAATCCTAGTCCATAGAGTGGAGGACCCAGAGAATGCCAGACGTAAATAAATATAATCATTATCCTATAATAATAATAATAATAATAATAATAATAATAATAATAATAATAATAATATACGTGTCCCATGGAAACAGAGTTGTGCTATACCCATCTTTATCAATTGGTATCTTTAATATCAAGGTAGATAGAATATAATATCTTTAATGCAAAGTTTTTTTCTGTATATTTTTGTGTTTTTATCTAAGTAATTTATTGTATATATGTTATGTTCACATGTTTTGTAGTGCCTGGCTTCGAGCCATCAGGAGAGGGGGTAATAAATATGATGATGATTATTATTATTATTAGATAGACAAACTGTGTTCTGTTTTGGTGGTTTCCCACCTGCAACAAATTCAATCCTGCCTGTGTTTACACACAAGTAAAGCCTACGTAGCTCAGATGAAGCTGGGATGGCACTATTTTTTAAAAAGACTATATTTCCCTCTTTCCACGGCAAGAACCACAGATTGAGGACAGTGAATATCGAATTTCCTCGCATAATTGTCGCATCCCCATTTGGGGCTGATTCACCCCCAAACTGAGGACAGGGAATACCGCATTTACTTGCATAATTGTTGCACCCGCATTTGGAGCGGATTCTCCCTCAGACTGAGGACAGGGAATGCCGTATTTCCTTGCATAATGGTCGCACCTCCATTTGGGGCTTTTCTCCCTTCTTCCCTTCCTCCTCCGAAGGCAAGGCAGTGTAAAAACAATAGAACTCTGAAGCTCCACTCTTCTCTCCTCCCTTCTTTCTCCGAGGCCTTAAGACAGTTTACAAAACCTGGAAGGGAGTTCTTTGGAGGAAGGAGGGAATATTCAAGCTCCAGAAACTTCTGTTTCAGGTTTCTGTAAGCTGCCTTAAGGCATCTGAGGGAAGAGAAAAGAGTGGAGCTCAATTGATCTCCGTTCTGTTGCTTTTAAACTGCCTTGGGTCCTCGGAGGAAGGAGAGAAGAGTGGTCTCCAGAAACCTCCACTTTGTCATTTTTAAATTGCTTCCTGGTTCTAAACCTGTGGGTCGCGACCCCTTTGGGGGTCAAACAACCCTTTTACAGGGGTTGCCTACGACCATAGGAAAAGACGTATTTCCAATGGTTTTAGGAACCGAGACACCGCTAACTTTTTCCCGCTTCCTTCCCTTCCCCGAGGCCTCTTCTTCTTCTTCTTCAGAGGGAGGTGGTGACATGATTCAGCCCTGCCCCCTCTGCCCCCCTCACTCCATTTTAGGAGGAAGAGATGGGAACGACCAAGGTGAGGTTTGCTTTGGAGTCAAGAGGGGGGAGGAAGGAGGAGGTGAGGTAGTGGAGGTGAGAAGGGAGATTGGGGAGTAGGGAGGGAGGGCCTGGGGGAAGGGCAGGGCTTAGAGGGGGGTGGAGTGGCCCCTTCATGGCCAAATCTCACAGAGAAAGAGAAGTAACAATGAAAAATACATCCTGCATATCAGATATTTACATTATGATTAATAACAGTTATGAAGTAGCATCAAAAACAATTTTATAGTTGGGGGTCACCACAACATGAGGAACTGTACTAAATGGTTGTGGCATTAGGAAGGAATGCCACAAGGCCTTCAGAGAAAGAAGGAAGGGAAAATCAGCCCCAAATGGCTCTGAAGTTTAAAAACAAACCAACAGAAACGGAGATGTTTGTTTGAAGCTAGATCATCTCTCCCTCTCCTCCTTCCCTTTTCGAGGTACAGCATTTTATTTAAAAACAACAAAAAACGGAGAATCAAAGGCAGATTTTTCCTCATGTAATAGTCACACGCCCTTTTTTATAAAAAGGCAGGGAAGTGACTATTATGCGATGAAATACGATAAATCCTCCCAAACATCTTGAATTGTTGGGAGCCAAGAAATGATCAGAAAAGTCCCTTTGCTCTTTTGAGTCATCTTACTGTAGTGACGGATGCATTATAGAAACCACCGAGTATAATTGGACCGTTTCATTTCCTACTGTCCACCCTGGGGCCGGTTATTATTACATTGCAAAACCAGGACATGTCATCACTTTGCCTGAGACACGACTGCATAAACCTCGCTCCTGGGATTCCTAAATTTGTGCTTTTTAATAACCCCGCTGTCCACAAAGGCCATTCAGATGATATTAACTGGGGAAGTTTTTCACTGCTTCAGCACTTTGGGTTCCAAGCTGGGTCTCATTGCTGGGCTTAGAAAAGAGACAAAGGTCCACCTTGTTGACGCTGTCCTCTTTGAAGGAAAGGTGTGCCTTAATGCACCAAATATAGTGCTAATCTAGGCAAAGAGGCAGCGAGTAATAGGATTCACTGCTCTGAATAATTGGTTGGAGGTGGTCCCTGGCCCTAAAGGAAGCCTGGCATTCTCAGGTGGGGGTCAAAGGCTGGCACCCTCCCTAGCCACATTCTGTAAGGAATTAAAGACGTGGATGTTTTGTCGTGCTTTCGATTGACGACTCCTATGACAAATGACCTGCATCATGACTTGAATTGTCATGATGAACATTCAATCTGATGTCCTATACTATATTAACTGATTCTGTTAATTTACTCTGCTTCCATATTTCCTATGCTGTTATACATTGCTATCCACCTTACTAAACCACTTATCCTTTAACTAGTTCATGTAGTGGTCCTTCCTCCCCGCCCCTCCAAATTAGTCTGCTGTTATTGTTGTTGCTAGTTATTACTGTTATGTTGTTTTATGTTGTTTTATGATGTCTTAATTGTTTTTGCTTTGTTTTTAATTGTATTCTGCCTTGAGCTTGGGCCCCATGTAAGCCGCCCGGAGTCCCTTCGGGGAGATGGAGGCGGGGGTAGAAAAATAAAGTTCTTCTTCTTCTACCGTATATACTCGTGTATAAGTTGAGGGCAGGTTTTGAAACCTAAAGTATGGATTTTGAGATGAACTCTGATAGCTATCATATACTCATGTATTCATTTATCCCTTTCTTGGAAGGTGTCCTTTTGGACTACAATTCCCAGCATCCCTCACTAGACATGATCACTAACAAAGTACCTAACAAGATCTTGGAAGTGGCCCTTTTGGACTACGATACTCAGCATCCCTAACTAGATATGGTCACTAATAGGGTCCCTAAGTGGAGCTTGGAAGTTAGACTTTTGGATTACAATTACCAGCAACCCTCACTAGACACGGTCACTAATAAGGTTCCCAAACAGAACTTGGAAGTGATCCTTTTGGACTATGATACTCAGCATCCCTAACTAGGTATGGTCACTAATAAGGTCCCTAACCAGAGCTTGGAAGTTGGCCTTTTGGACTACAATTCCCAGCATCCCTCACTAAACATGGTCCCTAACCAGAGCTTAGAATTTGGCCTTTTGGACTATGATTCCCAGTATCCCCCTTCACTCGGGCTGAGCAGGATTCTGGGCACCGCAGTACCCAAAGCAGCTTTCTCCATGTTCCCCATTTGGAGACATTTTCAAAACCATTCCCAAAAGGAGAAGAGTTGGAGATGTTAAAAAAGCAGATTGTTGGGGGGCGGGGGAACTTAAGTAGAAGTAAACAAACAAGAAGGGGGTAAATAAAACACAAAACGAGAAGCAACGGAAGCCTCTGGAGCGTGCGGTTCCCTTACTTGAGGGGAGCTTCCAGGAGAGAAAGCTTGATTGGAGACAGGAGAAGTGGGAGACTGGTTGGCTGGGGAGCCAGCATTGCTGCGGTACTGCTGGAGTGAGCCCTACAGAAGGACACAGTGTTAAAGAGGAGGCCCGAAGAAGAGGCAGTGAGAGAAAAAGACAGAGAGATCACACAGGCGGCGGGTCATGTTATGTATGTCTGTATGTACGTACACCTAGGGCAGGTGAGCCACAAAAAGGAGGAGGGTGGAGGGGAGGCACAGAGAAAGAGAGACAGGGAGAAATGGAGGGAGAAACCCAGCCTGTTTGCCAGTAGTACCGAGAAAACAATGCCTCGAAAAATGCCAGAAATAAGGAGGAAAGGGGGAAGGAGGTATTTTGAGCCCGGTTTTGGCTTTTTCCATCCCAGAATAACCTTTTTATTCCCAAACAATCTGCACAGGAGTCTAGACCACGGATCCTCAAACTGTGGCCCTCCAGCTGTTTGAGTCTTCAACTCCCAGAATTCCTGACAATTGAACAAGTTCGTTAGGGCTTCTGGGAGTTGGAGGCCCAAACAGCCGCAATTTGAAAATGCCTAGTCTAGACTCTGGAGGGTTTTTGAAGGACCCGCAATCTAAACGGCCCCCAAATGGGACAGAAGTGGAGTGTTGTTTGGGTAAAGTGTTCTAGCAGTGTGTACTCAAAGGCTTTTATGGATGGAACCACTGGGTTGCTGTGAGTTTTCCGGGCTGTCTGTCCGTGTTCCAGAAACATTCTCTCCTAATGTTTCACCCACATCTATGGCAGGCATCTTCAGAGGTTGGGAGGTCTATTGGAAACTGGGCAAGTGGGGTTTATATATCTGTAGAATGATGTTCAGGGTGGGAGAAAGAACTCTTTTCTGTTGGGGGCCATGTTGTGAATGTTGCAACTGGCCGATTTGATTAGCATTGAATGACCTTACAGCTTCAATGCCAGCTAGCTTATAGAGTCTATCAACAGGTGTAGGGTTGAGACATCCTTAAGAACAGACAAGCATCTCGAGCTCTGAGGACAACCTGGGAAGGAATCCCACTGGAGCCATTGCAGCACACCAAAATACCTGGGAGTCACTCTGGTCTGTGGTTTGACTTATAAGAAGCACTGCCTGACTATCATGCAAAAGGGGTGTGTTTGAGAGAGAGAGAAATAACATCGTACGAAAGCTGACTAACACAACCTGGGGATCTCAACCAGACACAGTGAAGATATCTTCCCTTGCGCTTTGCTATTCGGCTGCTGAATATGCATGCCCAGTGTGGAACACATCTCACCACATTAAAACAGTGGATGTGGCTCTTAACGAGACATGTCACATTATCGCAGGATGTCTATGCCCTACACCAATGGAGAAATTATACTGTTTAGTTGGTATTGCACCACCTGATATCTGCAGGGAAGTTTTATTTGTCGTGTCAGGACAACCAGTCAAATTATATTACATTTCTAACAGAACAAAGCAAACAAACAGATAAAATACAAAATTTGTGAGTTTGGTAGTTGATTAAATGTCCTTTGACCAGTATCTAGCCACTTGGAGTGCTTCTGGTGTTGAAGTAGTAGCCAAGTATAAAAGGACCAAGGCAGTGATATCTCTGGCCCATCCTCTGTTCGGATATCAGCCAGCATGCCAATGACTTAAATCAAGAAACAGCTTCCTAAGATCTACAGAGACACTCGCAGCAACACCTCAGCAAGCGAGAGTCCAAAAGTGGCAGGCTAAAACCCGGAACCTCAATCAGTAGCTGAGACTGGATGAGAAACTTCCCTCTGGGCACACAGAAGCTTGTGTGACTTGGAAGACGCTGAACAGACTGTGCTCTGGCACCACGAGATACAGAGCCAACCTTAAGAAATGGGGCCACAAAGCTGAGTCCGCAACATGCGAGTGTGGAGAACAGCAAACCACAGACCTCCTACTCCAATGCAGCCTAAGCCCTGCCACATGCCCAATGGGGGACCTCCTTTTGAACTCTTTGCCTGGTGAGGCACTCCAAGTGGCCAGCTTCTGGTCAAAGGAAATTTAGCGTAATACAAAGTTTTTAACTTTGTGGTTTTTTTTTTAAAAAAACATTATAACTGTATTCTCAATTTCCTTCTGACACAATAAATAAACTACCTGCTTCGTGTGGGCAGACTTGTGCCAAACACACACACACATATAGCTACACATATATATGAAGGGCTGAGCAGTATCTTCCCATCCCAGGAGAGTTTTGGGACCGCCATTACTCCAAACCCCTCTCCCGCCTCCCCTGGGCTCCAAGGATCCCCATCCAACATACCGAACTGATGTCTATGCCCATGGAGGTCTGGCTCTGGCTGCCAGGCGGCGACTGGGGGATGGTAGAGGGGACGCTGACCGAGAGTGGGGGCAGCTGGACGCCCCGCTGCAAGCCGGAGGTCTGCATCAAGGCTGCATTGGCCGGCAAGGCATTGGCCACCTGGGTCTGCTGCTGGGGCGGCTGGGGGCTGGTCTGGGTGAAGAATGGGTAGGGCGGGAGCTGCTGTTCGAGGGAGAGCGCGTCCATTGCCACGGCCTGCAGCGGGGAGAGGGCAGGAGGATCGCAGGCTGAGACGGAGAACAGAGTGAGCATCTCCTCCAAAAGACCGGACCTAGTTAGCAGGCCCTATGGACGGATGAAAGGGTCTGCTAAGTCCATAACAAGGGCAAGAGATAGGCTGCCTGGTTCAAGCTGAGCCTGGAGAGGTTTCAGGCCAACAACATCAGGAGAACCACAATAATCGGGCACAACAACATCCTGTACCCAAGCCAGACAGCTGGACTAGCAGGAAAAGACTTTGTCTCACCTTCCCAACGGGGGTAGGTGAGACTTTTATAGTTAGCACGTCCAATGCAAAAAGATGCTGAGAGTTAGTCTCCAAGCATCTAGCACCGAAAGGACTAAAGTAAGGCAAAAGCCAACCATGGTCTGCTGGCTTGTCTCACAAACCTCCGCAAAAATCCTATAGCTTAATGTTATGGGCATTTGGCCAAAAGCCCAGAGAATTGGGAGGTTGTGGGTTAATTGCAACTATACTGTTAGAAGAGGCATGTAACCACTTGTTGTTGTTATACATAATAATAATAATAATAATAATAATAATAATAATAATAATAATCACCCAGCATATATATCCCATTTGCTGTGGCATACTGTGTTTTTGTGTCAGTAAAATAATAATAATAATAATAATAATAATAATAATAATAATAGGCCACCAAGGCCAGCTGGTTGGTAGAGAGAACTGGGATTGACACAAAGCAACATGGTATCCTCTTTAGAGCATCATCATCATCATCATCATCATCACCATCATCATCATCATCATCCCAGGCCATTATTATTATTCCAGACTGCTGGGTGATAGAGAGAAGAATTGGGATTCAGAAAAGCAACACGGGACTAATAACAACAACAACAACAACAACAACAACAACAATAATACCACCAGGCCACCAAGGTTTGCTGGTTGGTAGAGGGGAAAATTGAGAACCACGCAAAGCAACATGGGGTCCTATTTAGGGTAGCATTATTATTATTATACCAGCCCACCAAGGGCTACTGGGTTGGAGAGAGGAGAATTGGTATTCACAGAAAGCAACACAAGAATACTAATACTAATAATAATACCAGCCCACCAAGGCCTGCTGAGTGGTAGAGAGGAGAGTTGGGAGCCACACAAGGTAGCACAGGGTATTATTATTATTATTATTATTATTATTATTATTGCACCAGGCCACCAAGGGCTGTTGGGTGGTAATGAGGAGAACTGGGATTCTGGAAAGCAACATGGGAATAATAATAACAACAACAACAACAACAACAACAACAGGTCACCAAGGGCTGCTGAGTAGGAGAGAGGAGAATTGGGATTCACAGAGAGCAACATGGGAATAAAAAGAGACCCCCTCCCTCCCTCCTTCCCTTCCTCCCTACCTGAGTGATGGGTGACAGCGGTGACAGGGACGGAGAGACCTGCTGGGTCTGGGTCCTCCTGCCATCCGTGTTCAGCGAAAGCGGGCTGACAGCAGACTGTTGGGAAGAGGCCTGTGTCGTTGTCATTCCTGCTGCCGAAAGAGAACGGATACAGGTTGGGCTTCCGTGATCTGGAATCCTGAAAGCTTTTGGTGCACATACATTTGGTTTCAGGCTCCCAATTTCAGTGGTGCTGAAATTAGGGTGCAGCTTACATTTGGTGACACCTTACAATCAAAGAACGATGGTATGTATCTAAATAGATAAATATATTTCTGGTTATAAAACAGCACTCTCTAGTGGTAGATCCCTGGGACTATACAACTGCTCAAAAAAACGCACCTCCTTGTATTTCTTCAATTCCAAGATGCACTTTTCCTCCTATGTAAACATGTCTAAAAATGGCCTAAGGTGTGTCTTAGAATCGCAGGTGTATCTTATGCATTTTTGTTGGTGGTACTGAAATTAGGATGGTACTGAAATTATTAGGGTACCAAATAAATATGGTAATAATAATAATAGTAATGATTGGAAACCACTTTGAATTCCCTTAGGCGGAGAAAAGTGGTATAAAATGTAGAAAATAAATAGTAAATAAATAAATAAACAATGCACATATACACCAATGCAAGTGGTTCCAAAATCCTAAACACTCCTTTCTGAGAAGGAAAACACAGCTTGTACCAGAGAGCTGCTCTAAAAGCCGAATGAGGCATTCAAAAGCAGGAAGCGAGGTCGTGGGAAAGGGAGAGATGTGATGGGAAAGGAAGTGAGGTCACAGGGAAGGGAATGAAGTCAAAGAAAAGGAAGTGAGGTCACAAGGAAGGGAATGAGGTCAAAGAAAAGGTAGTGAGGTCACAGGGAAGTGAGGTCATGGGAATGAGGTCACGGGAATGTGGTCATGGGAAAGGAAGTGAAGTCACAGGAAAGGGAATGAGGTCACAGAAAAGGAAGTGATGTGAAGTGAAAGGAAGTGAGGTTGCGGAAATTGAAGTGTGGTCACGGGAATGGAATTGAGGTCACAGGAAAGGAAGTGACAAGATGGGAAAGGAAGTGAGGTCACAGGGAAGTGAGGTCGTGGGAATGGAAGCATGGTCACAAGAAAGGAAGTGCCATGAAGGAAACAATGTGAGATCACAGGGAGGGAAGGGAGATTGTGGGAAAGGAAGTGAGGTCGTGAAAAAGGAAGTGAGATCATGGGAAAAGAATTGGCATTGTCTTCCTGTCCCAGGGGCCACCGTCTTACCCTGGTTGGCCGTGTTGAGGCCCATGTGCGTCAGGTTGGCGGCCAGGTTGCCAGTGCTGTTGGAGCTGCTCAGGGAGGGGAAGGTGGCCTCTTCGGGGTCCAGCGGCGTCGGGAGGGGCGAAGGGAAGTGGATGTTTGTCAGGTCCGGCAGGGAACCGCCCGTGTTGTGAGCGGCGGGGATCAGCGTGGTAGTGTTCTCCTGGTCAGCGGACGGAAAGATACTGCAGGAAACAAGTAGGGAGGGATCAAACTGACTATTTCTCACTGAAGATTGAAATCCCAACATCATTCAACCATGATCTTGTATTTACTCCTCTTTCAAAACCAGAACTCCTAAACAAAGGAAGAGTCCTTCCACACAGCCATATAACCCAGAATATCAAGGAAGATGATGACAAAGCTTTGGAAACGTTTTTATGAATTTAAACACACCTTGTAAGGCCAATAAAAAGGTGGAAAAAAAATGACCCATCTTTCTGTGCACAAAGGACACGTTTCCTCCCTTTGGTTTCAGTTATAAACCTCATGGTAATCCTTCGTGATATTGCTACGGACCCCCAGACATAAAGACACCAGACACAGGGATGCGGCTCTCTTTTTATACGTCCCAGTATTATCCTGAAAGCAAACTAGCGCCTCAGCACTCATACGTACTTGATTCCTGGAACTTCACAGGACTTTGGCCTGGAGGATCCCGTCTGAAAAGGAGGAGACAAAGGGTTAATTTATAAAGACATTTACACCCTGCCTTGGAGTCTATACTCTCCCATAAATGCCCTCAAGGTGGTTTATAACATGAACACAAAATACAGGGTGAGGCAGCATAACTTCCTTTCTTAAAATGCGCGCCATTCAGTCGGTTGAAGACGTAGCGGAGCGCTAGTGGTCTCGTTCGAGAGGCGGGAGTATAAAGTTTTGTCCTGACACTGTTCAGTTGCCATCATGCGTTGGAACAGTGAGGAGCGTGCTTTTGCTGTTGAGGCCTACTTTTCGAGTGGATTTGGAGTGGCCGGCCCACTCTCCAGATTTGGCCCCTTGTGATTTTTTTTCTATGGTGTTTTTTGAAATCCCGTGTTTCTGTGAACCGTCCAAGGACCCTACAAGATTTGAAGACCAACATCCAGGAAGAAATTGCCAACATAATGCTTGCTATGCTGGCAAGAGTCATGACAAACGCCAGAAATCGGTTTACTCAGTGTATGGAGAACGGGGGACATCACCTACCTAATTTGAGCTTCAAAACTACGTAAAACAAAACTTTAGGTATGTGCCTACATTATAAAAAAACTAGAAATTTCTGATCCATACAATGGGTTTTATTTAGTTTTGAAAAAACTGCCTCACCCTGTACAAGAGAGACAAACAAGACCATCGAAACAAACAAGAGAGAGCACAATTAACTGACAAATTAAACCTGCTGAAAACCTGAGATAATATATATTTGGCTTCATTGCCCACTTAAGAAGAAGAAACCCCACTAGAACAGTGGTTCTCAACCTGTGGGTCCCCAGGTGCTTTGGCCTACAACTCCCAGAAATCTCAGCCAATTTACCAGATGTTAGGATTTCTGGGAGTTGAAGGCCAAAACATCTGGGGACCCACAGGTTGAGAAACACTGCACTAGAAGGTATTAACTATGGTGAGCATTGCAATTATTGAAAGCAGAGATGGTTACATTGCAAAACCCAAAGGATTGTTATGCTGTTATGGATCTGGGATAGAATCCTTGCATCATTTCCATTTGAGAAGGGCAAAATTTACCTTGAGAAGAGAAAGATAATCTGAGAGTAAAGGATACGCATGTTTAAAATGTTAGTTTTGATGCTAGTGGATACCTGCTAGTGGATACCTGTGAGATCTGTTGGAAACTAGGCAAGTGAAGTTTATGTATCTGTGGAATAATGTCCACGGTGAGAGAAAGAATTCTTGTCTGTTGGAGGCAAGTGTGAATGTTGCCATTGGCCACCTTGATTAGCACTTAATAGCCTTGCAGCTTCAAAGCCCCACTGCTTCCTACCTGGGGGAATCCTTTGTTGGGAAGAGTTAGCTGGCCCTGATTGTTTCCTGTCTGGAATTCCCTAGTTTTTTGAGTGTTTTTCTTTATTTACTGTCTGGATTTTAGAGTTTTTTTTAGCATAGGGAAGCTGATGAAGAAACACAACCTACGAACTATCTATAGACTAACTAAGAAAATCCAGCAAGTGCTACGTTCAGCAAAGGACAAGAGGGATCCTCTCACCTCTGCAGGAGTCTCCCATATACCATGCAGCTGTGGACGAGTCTACATAGGGACCCCCAAATGCAGCAGCACTGCCCAGACATTAATCAAGGAACACAAAAGGCACTACAGACTAATTCAACCAGAGAAGTCAGCCATAGCAGAGTACTTGATGAACCAACCTGGACATAGCATATTATTGAAAAACAAATAAAATGCTGGACCATGCTAACAACTAACGTGACAGGCTACACAGAGAAGCCATTGAAATCCACAAACATGTGGACAATTTCAACAGAAAGGAGGAAACCATGAAAATGAACACAATCTGGCGACCAGTATTAAAAAACTTTAAAATCGGGACAGTAAATAACGAGTAACACTCATAAAACCGTGGAAATCCAGACAATCCAAACAATCAGGGCCAGCTAACACCACCCAACAAAGGATACTCCCAGCAGAAAGTAGCCAGGCTTTGAAGCTGCAAGGTCATTAAATGCTAATCAAGTCATCCAATTGCAACATTCACACTGGCCTCAAGCAGGCAAGAGTACTTTCTCCCACCCTGGACATCATTCCACAAACATATAAACCCCACTTGCCTAGTATCCAACAGACCTCGTGACCTCTAAGGATGCCTGCCATAGACATTGGCTAAACGTCAGTACAGAATGCCGCAGAAACACGGACATACAGCCCGGAAAACTCACGGCAACCCAGTGATTCCGGCCATGAAAGCCTTCGAAAACATATTATCATTATTATGTGTGACCTGTGCTGTGACCTGCCTCAAGCCATGATGAGAGGTGGGTAAGAATAATAATAATAGTAGTAATAATAATTACTATTAATAATAATAATAATAATAATAATAATAATAATTATTATTATTATTATTATTATTATTATTAATGGGATTAATTCGAAACCGGCCTAGGCCTCCAAATAGGCATTTTAAAACCTTTTATAAAAATTGAAATATATCATCAAATTTGTACATATCCCTCTTCCATATACGTAAGAATTTTGTTGTTTCTGTATTATCTAGATAAAGGTGCTTCATAAGACACGCTAGCATGCACCAGATTCTGCACATCGAAGGAAAGCCAATTTCAACATTTTTTGTCTCTACCTTTTTTGCCTCCCATCCTTGCTTCGAAAGGTTCTTGTCTGTCTCCGAGGCCTCTTCCTCCATGCCTGGGACACTCAGTAACAGGACTAGAAGGAAAGGAGAGGTCAGTGGGCAAGAGTGGAAAAATAACATTCTTTTAGGTAAAAGGAAGGGAATCATTGCCTCTAATAAACCCATTGTGCGAAAGTAAAGATGAGCCTGGGACTGGTCACAAAATAAAGGGGGGGGGGGGGGGTTTCAATATGTACCTCTGGGCTCTCTCGTACTTTTAAATGGCTAAAAGGAGAAATACAGGAGGAGGGGAAGGATGAAAAGAGAGAGGAAGGAAAGAACTGTATACATAATAATAATAATAATAATAATAATAAGAAGAAGAAGAAGAAGAAGAAGAAGAAGAAGAAGAAGAAGAAGAAGAAGAAACATAATAATAATCATAAATATAATAATAATTTATACACATAATACAAGTGAAAATATTATGTGTGTATGTGGCTCGGGTGTCTACTTAACACAGGCAAGCTCCTGCCTCCACAAACAGCTCTAGCTCCCACTACTCAGGAGACACCAATGGTTCTCCCTCCAATGACATTGCAGGTTATAGAGAGCGCTGTAAACAAGCACAAGAGCCCTGCCAATGTCCTCCAAAAACACCACATTGCCCACTACCATGAAGACTTTTATATGAGGACCATTTCAGCCTAGATTTTATGCGTTTTCCTCCACCACAGACAGACATCCCAGTGTTCCTTTCTATCTCTGTTGGTATGGAATTTGTATTACCCATTGCCTCTCCCTTAACCCTTTTCTATTCTTTCTATGGCACACAACAAACAGAGGAATTGATTAGCAACTGAACATACTAGAGAGGTTTGAGGAGAATTCGCCATGATTTATAGGACTTGTAGGTACTGGGATATATAATTCACATGCAATCTAAGAATTGCACTCTGAACTCCACCAAAGATGGACCTGGAACTAAATTGGTACACAGAACCCCCATGACCAACAAAACATACTGGAGGTCTTTGGAGGGATTTAGAGGAGATGTAGTTCACTTACATCCAGAGCGCACTATAAACCCCAAACAATGATGGATCTGGACCAAACTTGACATGCATACCCAATATGCCCAAATTTGAATACTGGTAGGTTTGGGGGGGAATTGGCCTGGACATTTTGGAGTTGTAAGTACTGGGATTTATAGTTCACCTGCAATCAATGAGCCCTCTGACCCCCATCAATGATGGAATCGGATCATACTTGGCACACAGAGACCCCCATGAACAACAAGAAAATACTGGAGGTCTTTGAGGGAAATTCATCTTGATTTGGGGGAGTTGTATTTCACCTACATCTAGAGAGCACTGTGAACCCAAACACCGATGGATCTGGACCAAACTTGGCAGACATATCTGATATGCCGAAATGTGATTACCGGAGGGGTTTGGCGGGAACTGACTGTTCTTTCTGGGAGTTGTAGTTGACCCACAACCAGAGAAATAGTGACCACTACCGATGATGGACCTTGACCAAACTTGGCACACAGACCCCGCCCCCCATGACTACCTGAACCTATTGGAGGGGTTTGAGGGGACTGATACATCATGGTGGGAGTTGTAGTTCATCCTATAGCCAGAGAGAACCCCACCAATGATGAATGTAGAGCAAACTTGCCCAACATAACAAACTTTAAGTACTGACAGAGTTTATCGGGGTTAACCTGGCTTGATGTGAGCTGCAGTTCACCCACAACCTTATGCATTTTGTACAATTATAAAATTAACTTTTTCAAATAACTTGGGCAACGCCGAGTACACAAGCTAGTGTAATAATAACAACAAACATAATAATAGTAATAATAATAGAAATAATAATAAATAATAATGCAAAGGAAAGGCTCTCGGCTTTCCATGGAGTGGCTAATTCCAATCAGGGACAGCAACTTGAAAAGCCCTAAAAAAGGGTTTTTGAGGGGTTTTTTGCATTTGGGTTGTTTTGCATGCCACTCACCTCTTTTTTGCTGCATGTCTTGCGAACCGACCGAGAAGGGCTCTGCCTGAGCAGGAGTCATTGTACTCTGGTGCAGGGCAGAATCCGAATTGGTCCTGATCCCAAGAAACAAACCAAATAAAGGGGATGAGACTGGCACTGAATTGAACACACGTCGAGAACGGCGCAGACAACGAACCAAAAGGGGAAGTGTTTCTGTTGACTCCAACCAAGCCTTTCTCATCTAAGGGTCACAATCTCAATCTGTTCCGGTTTTGTCCTCTCCCATAAGATCCCTTTGTTAGAGAGATCTCTCTCTCATTAACTATGGTTCTAATGTGAGGGTTGTTAATGGATCTACCTTAGAACCATACAATCCTAGAGTTGGAAGAAACTACCAAGGGCCATACAGTCCAACCCCATTCCTCCAGGCGGGAAAACACAATCTAAGCAACCCCGACAGATGGCAGTTCGGCCTTTGCTTCTCCTGCCATGATCTAAAAAGCCACTGATAGACCTTAACTCTGGAGAATCATGGAGTTGGAAGAGACTCCAAGGGCCATCTAGTCCAACCCCCTTCTGATAGACACAATCAAAGCCCTCCTGACAGATGGCCATCTAGTCATAGATATGATTGGGAGAGATATATGATTATTCCAAACAGACGCAGCCATCCCATACCAAACACACAAAGCAAAGCAAGCCAAAAAAGGACCTCAAGAAAAGACAGACCAAAATGAAATGTCATGGACAGAAGGGTTTAAATCAGAAACGGATGTATACAGACCTTCTCCAGCTGGTATCTGAAGGAGGGGACAAGTAGACCGTGCTGTAGGGACAGCTGTCCACGTGAGTCGGGCAAGTCAAGGAACCTTTTGACAAAGAAATCAGAGCAAAAGCAGGGCCGATGTGCCCCTCCCCAGGTCTCAGGGACCTCGAACTGGCCCTCCGCTTAAAAGAAAGAGGACCCCTGCTCTGTTTGGAAGGACTGAAAAACCAACATTCTTGTAAATGCCTTCGAAGATGATCAGCAAGCAGAGAGAGTCCTAGAGTTGGAAGAGATCCCAATGGCCAACCAATCCAACCCCTCTTCTGTCAGGAAGGAAGGCACAATTCGATCACTCCCAACAGATGGCCATCCAAATCTGTTAAAAATACCTATAGAAGTTTTAATAGAATCCTAAAAGTGGGACCCCAAGTTGAATCCCCTTCTGCCAGGAAGGAACACACCATTTGATCCCTCCTGACAGATAGTCATACCAACTGCATAACAACAACAGCAACAACAGAATCAAATACTCCTAGAGGGGCCACCCAGTCCAGCCCCGTTCTTCCAGGAAGGCACAATTAAATCCCTCCTGAGAGATGGATATACAGAGTCTGTTAAAAATACCTATCATTGAAACATAGAATCTTAAGAGTTAGAAGAGACCCCAAGTCCAACCCCCTTCTGCCTGGGCGGAAGACACCATCCAATCCCTCCCAACAGATGACCATTCAGACACTGTGGGAAATATGTATCATAGAATCAGAAAATTGGAAGAGACTCCAAGGGCCATTCCATCCAACCACTTTCTGCCAGAATGGAAGGCACAATCAGATTCCTCCAAAAAGATGGCCATCCAGAGTCTATTAAAAATACCTATCATGGAATCATAGGAAGAGACCCCAGGTCCAATGCCCTTCTGTTCGAAAGGAAAAAACAATCAGATCACTTCCTACAGATGGTCATCTAGTCTCTACTTAACAACAACAACAACAATAGAATCAAAGACTCCTAGATGGACCATCCAGTCTAACCCCTCTTTTGCCAGGAGGTAAGACACCATCCGATCCTTTCCAATAGATGGCCATTCAGACTGTTCAAAATACCTATCATAACATTTTAAAGAGTTGGAAGAAACCCCAAGGTCCACCCAGTTCAACCCCCTTCTTCCAGGAAGGAAGATACCATTTGATCCCTCCCGACAGATGGCCATCCAGCCTCATCATCAGTCTGGCTCACGTGACACCATCCCGCCCAAAGGATATCTGCCTGCCATGCTTGTCCACGGAGAGTGGGCGTCGGTGCGGGGAGCCCAGGCGGTTCCGGTCACGGTAGACCCGGTCCACCAGCCCATGATGCCGTGTGGTCCGACTGGTGTCCAACCCTGAGGACTGGAACGGAGTCTAAAGACAAGACAGAGAGAGACAGAGAGAGAGAGAGAAAGGGCTCAAATGCAGGGCAATAGAAGAGAGGCCGGAAATACACAGAGGAACCCAACTCGAGGGGCAGGCAGAGTTACGGTAACATTGGGAGAACCCTTATGTTGCTCCTAAGTGCTTTTCTCACAAGTCTGTTCCTTTACACCAGTGGTTCCCAACCTGTGGTCTATGGACCACCAGTGGTCCGCAAAAACTAAAATACGGTCCACAAAGTAAAGACCTTGTAAAATACAACTCCCAGGATGCCTTCGCACCAAGCCAGGGCAGGCCAACTTCACAGTGTCAATGTAACCTGTGTTTTCAAAGCAAAAAGTATTCTGGTTTACCATGGCTGACTTTTAGAGCAAAGCCAACAGCAGCTTTGGGCCAGGAAAGGCGGGAAGGGGAAAGAGCAAGAAGGAGGAGCAGAGAAAAAAAGGAGGAAAACGAGGAGCCCTTTGCGCGGAGCCTGCCTCTTTCTGCCTGAACTCACAGCGTGTCTCCTCTGCAAAAAGGGAACCTGGGTTAGTTTGAAACATATATAAAACCTCGGGTAGTACATTCATTTTCACTACTGATATTCTGCCCATTAAAGAAAGGTTTAGTCTTTGCCATCTTTCCATTTTTTCTTTGATCTCCTCCTTTTTTTTCATAGTTGTTTTTTTAATAACTGGGCATTACTACCTGTAATGTATAAGTGTATGTTCGTCATGATGCTGGTCTTCTTGCTCCTTTTTTCTTTCTTTCCTCTTTTCTTTTTTTTTTCTTCCTTTATTTTCGTTTCTGTATTCCCATTTTTCTTTTTATAATGTTCACCCACTTTCACTGTATAAAACCAGTATCTTGGGTATGTATAAGCTATTTTAATTATTTGTGTGTTCAATAAGTGTGTGTTTAATGTCATTTATGTTATTCACTAATAAAAATCATATTTAAAAAAGGGGGGGGGACCTGGGTGAGGCGCAGCCCGCTTCCCTCCCTCCCTCCTTACTTTCTTTCCTTCCTACCCTCCCTCAGTCTTTTCTTCCCACCATCCCTTCCTTCCTTCCCTCTCTCCCTCCAGCCCTTCTTATTTACTTCATTCTCTCTCTCCCTCCTTCCTTCCTAAACCTCATCCTCTCTCCCACTACCTACCTTCCTTCCTTCCTTCCTTCCTTCCACGTTTTCTTCCTCCCTGCCCCCTCTCCCTTCTGCATTCCCATTCCTTCCTCCTTCCTTCCCTCTCTTCTTGCTTACCACTTTTCTTCTTTTCTTCCTCCTCTTCCTCTTTACTCCCTTGCTTGTTTCCTTCCTTCCCTTCCTCTCTCTCTCTCTCCCTTCCTCAGTCCCATCCCTTCCTTGCCTCCCTCCTTCATTTTCTTCCTTCTCTCCCTCCTTACCTCCTTTGCTTCCTTCTTTCCTTCCTCTCTCCCTCCTTCCTTGCTTCCTTCTTCCCTTCCTTCCCTCCCCCCTCTCTTCTTCCCTTCCTCAGTCCTCTACTTTCCTCCCTCAGTCCTCTGCTTTCCTCCCTTTCTTCCTTGCTTCCCTCCTTGTGTCCCTTCCGTCTTTTCTTCCTCCTCTCCCTACTTCCTCCCTTGCTTCTTTCCTTCCATCCCTTCCTTTTGTTCTCCCTTCCCCCTTCAGTCCCACCTTTTCTTCCTTGCCTCCCACCTTGCTTCCCCTCTTCCTCTTCTCTCCCTTGTTTCTTTCCTTCTTTCCCTTCCTCTCTCTCTCTCACTTCCTCCCACAAACCCATCCCCTCCTCCCTTTCTTCCTTGACTCCCTCCTTGCTTCTTTCTTCTTTCCACCTCCCTCCCTTTCTTCTCTCTCTCCCTCCAGCCATCCATCCCTTCTTGCATCTCTCCCTCCTTCCTTGGTCCTTCCGTCCTTCCTTCCATCCCTCCTTCCTCAAGCAATAATATTAGTCCCAGAATTACCCAATTCCTAAAGAAGATGCAATTCAAAAATCACATTGATGCAAACCAAATTTAATTTTCTATTAAAATGTTCTTTTGATATTATAATAGTACTCTTAATTCATGTTACTATTCAGTTCAACAAATCTGTTAACGTTTTTGATTAAAATTTATTTTTAGATTAACTCCGTTTATTATTCTTGAACCATGTGGTCCCTGCTAACAACAAAAAAATCCAAGTGGCTCCTGGTCAAAAAAAGTTTGGGAACCACTGCTTTACACAGATGCAGGGCAAGCTGTACCTGAAAGGGCAAGTCCATCGCGCTGCTCCCAATCTGATTGACGTTTGGCAGGGATCCGCCATAGTACTGGCCCCGGCTCTGCCCCAACTGCAAATACTGGTTTTTCTGTAGCTGTAACTAGAAAAGAGAGTGAGAGAGATGAACGGAGTTGTATGGACTCCACAGGCAGAAGTAATGATCTCTGTTTACAGGATAATTAGGGACGTTTGCTAAAGTAAATTTATTCTACAGCATAAATCCACTAAAGGTTTTCCTTTCCATCGCTGGAAGCTTTGGCGTTCCAACACTTTTGTTTTGTAAGAAGGAATTCTAAGCAGGAAGCAACTGTAAAGGCCATATTACAAAGAGTACACTTTTGGTCGCTGTGCATTACATTCGGCAACAAATCCTTATAATATCCTCATTTTGAAAATAAAGCTGTGAATTAGATTCCGTGACGCTTGAGACTCGAGGAAATACTGCAATTTGTCATCCCCTCCAACCCATGATGATCAAGTGTTGGAAAACAAAGATTCATTGTCACGGCTGAGACATCTACCTCGAAATACTTTAAAAAAACACCCTAGAAGCAGCAGCTCTGAGGAACGCAGTGTACAAGCAAATGTGGATCAAAACAGACTGGGTTAGGAGGATAAACACAGCGTATGCAGAGGGCTGACAATACAAGCAGTTTGTTTTCATTCTACCTCCGCTTTCAACTCAAAGAACTGTCTAAATGGTCTCAGAAATGGTAGGTGAGTTGGCAATACATTGCCTGGATGTCCAATGCTTTTCAAAACTGCAGATTTCTATTCAATGCAATACAGGGAGTCTGTGTTACGAACAAGATTGGTCTGCAGGTTTGTCCTGAAGTTGGATTTGGATGTAAGTCGGGACAGGAATATTTTTAAAGTGTAACTCCAGCCAGATACACAGACACACAAACACATGCTGTACCCGGTCACGTGTTGCTGTGGCCCAGTCTGGTTAAATGGAAAAGAAAGAAAAGAGTAAGACCTGGTCTCTAATATATGTGATTTCACAATGCTTGTGGGTATACAATATTTTTCATTGTTCCATATTTTTACTTGTCACAGGTGTGACATCTATATAACATGCGCCTATGAGGGTTGGACTGGATTGCTTTTGGGGTCTCTTCCAGATTTATGATTATCTATCATGTGTGTTTGTATGTGTGCGTGTGTGGTATGTGGATATAAGTGATTTTAATGTTTGTGTATATTTATGGTTTCATGTCCCAGCAATGAATGTTTGCCATATATATGTTGTTCTCCACCACTGAGTCCCCTGCAGGGCGAGAAGGGCGGAATATAAATGTCTCAAATAAATAAATAAATATGGCACGGGAGATGTAAGGTTTAGAACCTTTGCAATTGCTTGGTCGTCCAGCAGATGACTCTGTTTTTGTAGCAAAACATGTTTTTACCTGTCACAAATGTGACATCTGTATAGTAGCTGGATTTTGACAACCTTTAAACCTTCGCCCGTTCGATTGCTACATTGTGTCCAAATTTTGAGGAAATCGCTTACGTATTTTGGGAGTTAAGAGGACACTCACAAACAGACATTTACAGTTTTATTTATAGAGAAGGGGTGGGGCTTTGGATAGCATAGGTAAGGGTGAACACACCTGTGAGGTTTGTTTTGCTGTCCGTGCCCCTGCTAGGAAGATTTCATCTCACTTTCTGTTCCTGAGATAACTGGATTTTGGAAAACTTGGCTTGTTGTGGAAACATGGATTGGTGTGAAAGCTTCAGTGGAGACCCCTTTTCCCCATGATAATAATTCTCCCAGGAGTGGATCTCCCTTCCGAGAGATAGTTTTCTCTCACTTCCTGTTATATCATCCCAAAAAAATACAAAATTGTATAATATCACAAAGGATTACCACCTCACCTGCTTCATAGGAAATATGATACTAAACAGGAGCTCTTTTGTTGAGTTCCAGGATCAAAGAAGCAGATGGCAAAGACAAAAGAACGGCCTGCCTCAGGGGAGTGTGCTTGCTCTATTGATGTTTAATATTGACACAAATTATCAGCCACTGCCAGAAGGGACAGAGAGTTTCATCTATGCTGATGATTGTGCCATCACTGCTCAAGCAGGCAGCTTTGAAATGGTTGAACAAAAGCTCTCCAAAGCTTTAGGTGCTCTTACTGCCAGTTGGCAGTAAGAGCACCTAAAGCTTTTTACTGCCAGCTGGCTCCTAATTCATCTAAAATGCAGGCATGTGCTTTTCATCTTAAGAACAGACAAGCATCTCAACTCTGAGAATTACCTGGGAAGGAATCCCACTGAAGCATTGCAGCACACCAAAATATCTCGTATGCTGCACTGGACCGTGCTCTGACTTACAAGAAGCACTGCTTGACTATAAAGCAAAAAGTGGGTGCTAGAAACAATATCATACGAAAGCTGACTGGCACAACCTGGGAATCACAACCAGACACAGTGAAGACACCTGCCCTTATGCTTTGCTGCTGAATATGTATGCCCAGTGAGGAATACATCTCACCACGTTAAAATAGTGGATATGACCCCTAATGAGACATGCCGCATTATGACAGGATGCCTACGCCCCACACCACTGTTTAATCGATATCGTACCATCTGACATCCATCGGGATGTAGCAGCCAATAATGAAAGGCCCAAAGCATTGACATCCTCTGTTCAGACATCAGCCAGCATGCTAACACCGTACATCAAGAAATAGCTTCCTAAGATCTACAGAGATACTCGCAGGAAAACCCCACAAGCGAGAGTCCAAAAGTGGCAGGCTAAAACCTGGAACCTCAATCAGTGGCTAATGCCAGATGAGAGATTCCCTCCTGGGCACACAGAAGGCTGGGTGACTTGGAAGGCGCTGAACAGACTGCGCTCTGGCACCACAAGATGCAGAGACAATCTTAAGAAATGGGGCTACAAAATGGAGTCCACAACACACGAGTGTGGAGAAGAGCAAACCACAGACCTCTTACTACAATGCAGCCTGAGCCCTGCCACATGTACAATGAAGGACCTTCTCACAGTGACACCAGAGGCACTCCAAGTGGCCAGCTTATGGTCAAAGAATATTTAGTATAATGCCAAGTTTTTAACTTTGTGGTTTTTCTATACATTATAACAGTATTCTCAATTCTGACACAATAAATAAAATAAAATCTCATCCCAATTTATAACTGTAAATCGTTTGTATGTCGGATGCTTGTAACTCTGGGATGGCTGGTATTACATAAAGACGTCCACACATCTATCTACTCCTTTCCATACAAAAGGATAACAAGAGAGCTTGGCTTCTTCCCCTTTTCTTGGTGGGAAACAAGGAAAGAGTCCTTCTTTCAAAGGATGCCATTTTTGAGTTTCCTTCCTGGGTTTGTGTCTCGGGACGGCAAATAATCCCCATTCCCTTCCCCTTTCTACCGCTGCTGCTTTAAAGATTAACGTTGGATGGGCTCCCAGCCGCCCACGCAACCTGGCCGCCGTTTGCTAAGCGTTTGGATGCCGTCTCTCCAGGCCGCTGGTTGGCTGGCTGGTTGCCAACCGAGCACCAAGGATCTGGATGCAAGAGAGAGAGACAGAGGAGAGAACGCTTTCCCCGCATCGAGGCCCCGTTGCCAACCCCGCCGGCTCTAGAACCAACGTGTGACCTCTCCCGCACTTTCCCCACACACAAAGACAGTTCCCATCCTGCTTTGGGCAGAGAAAGGAGCAACTGCAAAGACATGCACACAGTTCCAAGCACAGCCTATCATAGAATCCTAGAGCTGGAAGAGACCCCCCAAAGGCCATCCAGTCCAACCCCCTTCTGCCAGGAAGGAAGACACAATCTGATCCTTCCCGACAGAAGGTCATCCAACCTTATACGTATTCGAGGGTTCATGGAGAAATAGGGCTATAGAATGACAGAATCCTAGAGTTGGAAGGGAACCCCAAAGGTCATCCAGTCCAAACCCACTCTGTCAAAAAGGAAGATCACATTGAAAGCACCCTCGACAGATGGCCATACAACGTCACAGATATTAGAAGATTTGTGGAGAAATAGGATACAGAATGATAGAATACTAGAGTTAGAAGAGAACCTCAAGGGCCACTCAGTCCAACCCCATTCTGCTTGGAAAAAAGACACAATCTGATCCATCTTGATAGATGGCCATCCAACCTTATAGACTTTAGAAGGTTCATGGAGAAATAGGGCCTTAGAATGATAGAATCCTAGAGTTGGAAGGGATCCCCAAAGATCATCCAATCCACCCCCATTCTGTCAGGAGCAAAATCAAATCACCCCCAACAGATGGCCATCCAAGCTCATAGACATACATGAAGAAATTGAGCTATAAAATGATAGAACTCTAGAAGTCTGAGTTGGAAGAGACCCCCAAAAGTCATCCAGTCCAACCTCATTCTGCCAGGAAGGAAGACATAACAAAAGACTTCCTGACAGAGGGCCATCCAACCTCATAGACATTCTTGGAGAAACCAGCCAATAGAATTATAGGAACCTTGAGTTGGGAGGGACCACCAGAGGTCATCCAGTCCAACTCTACAAGGCAGGAAGACATCATCCAAGTCTTTCTGACAGATGGCCACTCAGTCCAACCCCATTCCACCATACAGGAAGACACAAGCCCTGACTTCCTGACAGAGGGACATCATAGACATTAGGTGGTTCATGGAAAAATAGAGCTATAGATTCATAGAAGAGACCCCCAAGAGACCCCCATCCAGTCCAATCCAGTGTGAACCCCCATCCAGTCCAACCCCCGCTTCTGCCAGGCAGAATCCCGACCGATACACTCATGTTGGTGAAGGGAAAAATATGGTCCATCCTTGACCATTTGTGTAGGTGTTGATGTCCGAAACTGGACATCGACACCTATGTTTTCCTTTCCAAGAAACATCTAGTGGAGTTGGAGCACAGACAAGGCAAGGCTCAACAAGGTTAGGTTTAAGGGTCTTGCATCCCATTAGATACAAGTGTCCCTAACACAAAACGGCAAAAAATATCAGGAAGGACTTTTTGACCATGAGAGAAGTATTTGGAATCAGAAGACTTCAGAGGATGGTGGACTCTCCTTCTTGAGAGGAACTTACATAGAGGCAGAAGGACATTGCTTGGG